GCAGAGGAACGGAAAGAAGTCGGTGTAAATTGACACGTTAACTTGAATGGTTACGATCAGCTACGATCGGAGGATACGACCTTTTAGGAGACGATCAGGATGAAGGTGGAGGTTGAGGGTTAGTCTTTCCTTCTTCCAGCAGTTTCCTATCACACACACAGTCATCCATTTCTATGATATTCACATCTCTGTGTTACCAACACCATCAACCATGTGACTCAAACATCTTTGGAGGAAACATCACCTCTTTAAAAAGCTGTTTTTTATGCTTTTATTTTGAATTTTTCCTGTCTTGTTTTTTGTGTGTATAGTAACACTATGCTTTTATTTTGAAGTGTTTTCTCTGCAGATCTTTAGTTGTCGTTGCTGCTGGTTTTGGATTTGATACAAACTGCAGCTCGAAGCGACATGTGCTGTTCTGGGTTTAAGGCCAGACAGGCTGCTGGGTTCTGGATCATCTGTGAGGTCTGCCAGTAAGGAGTTGCAGTATCAGAGCTGTGCTCTGTGTGCTCTGTCTGAGGGGGTCTGAACCTCCCCACAGAGACTAAGACAACATGGACCTTAAAGGTGAGCTGGTCCTCAGTCACAGCAGCACCTGATTCAGCGCAGACATAATAATAATAATAATAATTATAATAATAATAATAATAATAATGATAATAATAATAATAATAATGATAATAATAATAATAATAATGATAATAATAATAATAATAATGATAATAATAATGATAATAATAATAATTATTATTATTATTATTATTATAATAATGATAATAATAATAATAATAATAATAATAATAATAATAATAATGATAATAATAATAATGATAATAATAATAATAATAATAATAATGATAATGATAATAATAATAATAATAATGATAATAATAATAATAATAATAATAATAATGATAATAATAATAATAATAATAATAATAATAATAATGATAATAAAAATAATAATAATAATAATAATAATAATAATAATAATAATAATGATAATAATAATAATAATAATAATAATAATGATAATAATAATAATAATTATGATAATAATAATAATAATAATAATGATAATAATAATAAAAATTATGATAATAATAATAATAATGATAATAATAATAAGAAGAAGAATAATGATAATGATAATAATAATAATAATAATAATGATAATAATAATTATTATTATAATAATAACAATATACTGACTACGTTAGTGAAACACGCTTCAGTCTCTGCTCCTTATCAAACTGACATCTGCTAGAAAAGATCACAGGACTCCGGTTTGTCCCTTATCAGCCACCATATGTGAGTCTGTTATAGTGGACAAGTTGTCTGGAGGCTAATCAGCTGTTTCTGGTTTGAGAGGAGCAGGCGGCTAATGTAGTTAACACACACACACACACAAACACACACACACACACAGACAGTGATAAGATGATACTTCAGTGATCGCTGCGGGGAAACAGGAGACATTAAAAGAAAAGCGACCATTAGGCAGACACAGATGGCAGCAAACGCGACGCCATCAACAACTACACCACTAATACTGTCCATGACCTCTGACCTCCCATAATGACCATCAGAAGTTTCTCCTCAGAAAAGTCGTCTGTTAAAGTTTTGGTCGATATTTGGCTCTGGTGGTGAGACTCCCTTTTTCATCTTGTTTTTCTCTCAGTTTCGGTGTTTTCTTCGTCTCTGGGTCGAGACGGCGTGCAGCATGAAGCCCCTCATTAACGCTCATCAAACGGAGGTCACAGCGAAACCATGGTGACCTCCGTGATTTCAGATGAAAACGTCTTCATCCATTAACAGAGCTTCACGCTGCTTCTGTGCAGCTCCGGCTGTCAAAGGTTGATTTTAAACGCCACGTTGAGTCGGTTATTCTGAGCCGTCACAGTAAACGGGTCAGAGGGTCAGATCTGGACTTTCATGGAGCTGGATCAGGAGTTCTCAGAGTGCTGCTCTTTGTGATTAAATTCAGAGTGAAAAGATAAACATCTTCATGAAGTGTTGAAAAGAGGGTTTTAAAAGGACGACTAAAAAACAGATTTTATCCTCCTCTGAAGCCGGACCAGCGACAAAGACTGCAGGTCAGCTGACCTTAGACCGCTTATATATTTGAGGGGCGGAGAACTTTGAGTGTAATAATAATAATAAAAATAAAGTTTATTTCTCTGTTTTCAGGTAAAAGTTTATGAATCATTCAGAAATTTTAAAGGAAAACACAAAATTATTATCAGATTATCTTAAAAAAATGAAGCTCACAGTCGAGTCAGACTAGATCTATGATTTTATCACGTGTGTAATTTTATCAGTGTTTCTAGAAGATTCACAGAACAATTTATTTATTTAATAAACTAAAACAGTTAAAGGCTTTTATTGTGGAGGGACATCCAGGGGGCACTTCCTTACTTTTCAATCATTCTAACCCCAAATTTTTACCGTATCCTGAACGGCTCCGATCCGGAACGGCAGCAATTTTTGCCGTCCACCAGTTCCTACCGGACGTGTTTGTGAGGCGAATTTCGTGGTGGATTACAGACGCAGGAATCACAAGAACTCACAAGAACCTGCAGATTCACGTCCAATCACACGATAACGAGTCGTCTCTCTAAAGACAGACACATAGACATATAAGCAGTAGATTGTGTCCTTCCAGAGGAGGAAATCTACTTCTAGACTTCTAGAATCAGCATCTCCTCATCCATGGTGTCATCGGGGTGAAATGACGTCTAAAAACCTTTCACTTGTTCGTCTCCGTCCGTTTGCATGGTGTGAAATACGATCCTCCTGAAACACGGAGTGTTTTATTTTGAAAAGAAGCCGGATGTTTTATTTTGAAGTCTGTGCCCGACTTCCTTTCCAGCACGGGTTAATCTGTGCTGAATTTATCCGCCATGCTCCGGCGTCCAGAAAAAATAGAACTCTTGTGATCAGCTGAGGAGTCCGGCGATCCGCAGAGGAACGGAAAGAAGTCGGTGTAAATTGACACGTTAACTTGAATGGTTACGATCAGCTACGATCGGAGGATACGACCTTTTAGGAGACGATCAGGATCTTTTTTTGAAGAACACCCTGAGGACACTGTCGTAATACTTTTAGAGGACAGTGAAAACATGTCCCCTCAGAAAGTAAATTAATTTATTCACATATTTTATCTATTATTGTTTTATTTTTCCGGCCCCTGAAAGCGTCTGAGTCCGGCTGAGTTCAGTTTTAATAAACAGATGTCACAGACGCTCTCTGTCTTTGTGGATCGTTGAACATCTGGTCTCACGTCTCCGAGCGTTGATTGAAGCTCTGACCTCCAAACTGTCGGCGAGGACTCGGACATTTTCACACAAACACCCCGGAGGTCAGGGCTGTGGTAGAATACTGGATCATGTTTGGTAAATCTTTCACTCTTTGGACTCTGAACCCAAAGACCTGCGCTCTGTCATGAAAAACCACGGCTGAAGGGATTTCTCCGTAGCTGTCAGAGTTCCTGAACCTCCAGCATCTGTTTGATTAAAGTTCCTCCTCAGACTGTCAGTTTCACCTCTGCGCTCTGTTGTTGTTGTTGTTGTTGTTGTTTCAGACAGGCTGTGAAATTGACTGAATTGGATTTATCCTCAGAGGAAACAGCACATCGTTTTGTGGAGTTGGTGTTCTCGGAGAAAGAACTTTTAATTTCTGAAAACCTGCTTTGAAAAACAAAATCTGTTTTAATAAAAAGGACATTTTTCTTCTTTGTCTGAGAAAAACTCTTCTTTAACGGAGGCACTGTTGCTTTTTAACACTAAACTGTCGATTTATTCTGGAGGACGGTCCCAAAGCTGAGCAGAGAAAATATTTACACTGAAAAAACAGGAAAGAGAAAGGCCGTCAGAGTTTGATGGTGGTGAATTAAGACCTGGTTCTGAAGTGGACCAGAGTTTGGACGAGCTTTCATACCAGAGAAACCAGACCATCTAAGGACATGGACCCGGGTCTGTCAAAGGGGACCACACAGGTCTGGAGAAACTTCAGTTTCTCTGTAAAGGGAGGGTAACACTCTGGTTATAGTTCACCTGTTTGTGGAGAGTCTCAGCTTCACTGTAATAATGGGTCACCTCCCTGAGTCTCAGTTTCACTGTAAATAGTTGGTCTTTACTCTGGTTTAGTTCAGCACTTCTTCATCTTAACCGTCCCATCATGTTTGGAGAGAAAACTCCATCAGATCGAATTCTTGAAAAACTTTTACAGACTTGATTTTATGTGATTTTCTCTTTTTTCTCTATTTAACCTTTGAGGCTCATTTTTGTTATTCCATTTTATCGTTAATATTACCACTATTAAACTTAACTATAACTATTATATTATAATTTATTATGATTTTATTATCATTATTAATGTCCTCTTTTTATATTTACTATCCTGTTTCCTCCTCCTTTATTACATTTCTTCTTCTTTCCTATTGTATGTTTTTATTTTGGTCTCTTGGTCTCAGTTTATGTTGTAGGTTCTTCTATTGTCTGGGTTCCTCATGACAAATTAAATTGTCCTTAAATTCTGAGTTTTTAACTGAATGTTTTTATTTGTTTTTATTTCCACGAGCTTTACGACTGTTTGTCAAAGAACTTTGTAAACGTCTGTTTTTAAAAGGGCTCTAAAGACAAAGTTAATATTATTATTATTATTATTATTATTATTATTATTATTATTATTGTTATTATTATTATTATCATTATTGTTATTATTATTATTATTATTATTATTATTATTATTATTATTATTATTATTGTTGTTGTTATTATTATTACTAAATGATGTTCTCAGCAGAATAAACTGGAGCTTCACTCCTGATTAGACTCATTAACGAATGCCTCGTCCTCTCCTTCACAGACGTCTGTTTCTTCTTCTTCTTCAGGATTATTGCTGATAATCTGAGCAGCGCCTGTTTGACGGACAGGTCTGTTGTTTTTCTTTTCTCTCTTCATCAGCGTCTCCTCGAGTTTCTGAGTGAGGATCATATCAGCAGAATAAACGAGCGTCTCTTCGCCTCTGACAGGAATAATTACACCGTTTTCTTTTACTATCTTTACAGTCTTGATGCTTCGCCGTCACGTTCATCATATTTCATCGTCTCATTTCCTCTCTCTCTCTCTCTCTCTGTGAGGTCTGATGATGGAGACGTTCGTCCCTCAGACACTTCAATCAAATCTCATTTCTGTTTGGATCAGAGGCTGAAAAACTGTTTTTTTTTCTGACTGTAAACCTGATAAAAAACTAACAAGATAAAGAGAAAAGAAACTACAGTGGGGTTAAGACCTGTCCACACACACACACACACACACACACACACACACACACACACACACACACTCCTCACCAGTGAGTCCTCCATGGTGTAGTTGAACATTTCCAGGGCGTCGCTCTTCAGGTTGCTCACAAACTCTTTGTACTCGCGGTTGTGAGGTTCTCTGTACGTCAGGATCTTCACGCTCTGAAAACAGGAAGAGGAGATTTTAAATCAGCGCAGTTTCCTCGATAAACCACGTCCAAATATAAAACAACCTAAACACGTCAGCGTGGACGTCCCTCTGAATGGACATGAAATTGTTCGCTGATTGGAGTAGAAACAGGAAGTGGAGTCGACGCTTGAACTGAGCGAAGGTTTCTCACTCGATGTCCTCCTGTGAAATTACTGAGTGTAAAAACACGGCGGCTCATGTTCAGACTGAGTCCCGTCTTCCACCTCTGTTTCCATGGCTACAGGTCATGGGGGGGACTGACGTGGTCCTCAGGGTCCGTTTGTGGAAAACAGTGAAATCAGAGGAGGACAGGAGGTTCAGTCTCCAGGAAGACCTGATCTATCCTCCTGACACACCGAGAGGTCACACACCTGCACAGGTGAAGAGCAGCTGGTTCTCCACCTGAGGAACCGAGCCGACACGCTCAGCTCATGTCCTGCTGAGGTTCGAGCGCACTTACACTTGTCCCGGTCCATTATTGACTTCGTTTAGTTACTCCTGGACACCATATTTTTTTATGTCGGATGGTTGGGGAAAGTCCCGCCTCCTTCACCTCTGATTGGCTGGAAAAGCTGGAAACATCGTCACACGCTCAAACCAAACGCAGCCGTCGGCTCTGAATATCGGACAGAACATCATCGCACTTCTGGATCTCCTAACCCTAACCCGGTGACGGAACAACCAATCAGAGCTCAGCACCTCCAGCCAATCAGAGGCAAAGGAGGGCGGGACCTTCCCCTACCATCCTCCTGGACTGGGTCTGGATCTCATCATAAACCAAAACAGTCGACAGACGAGTTCGTGAAGGGTTAGCGTAGTCAGGTAGACGCTCTACCTTTTCCTACCGAGCACACGGGCCGACGCGGACGCCACGCTGGAAATGCTGACATGACAGAGAGGTGAGGCGGGCCTTTAGCCTGTCCGTCACAGCAGCTTTGTTTGTTAGCGTCATGACCTCCAAATTAATCCGATCTTAAATATTCAGCACCTGAATGTAAACTGTTTTTTAAACCAGACTCGTCTTTGTTCTAAGACGCTCTTTTTTAAATGGGTGTGAACGAGTTTTTAATTCTTCTGCCTCCAGTGGACGCTCCAGGAACTGCAGTTTACCACTCCTACATTTCCACTTGGTCAAAGCCTGGTGTCCAAACTGTGGAGCACGCTCAGATTAAACCTGTGAGAGAGAATATGATGAAGATAAAACGGAGTTTGTTAGAGAAACTCTGAGAACCTGATTTCACTCTTTAACTACGTTTAGATACAGAGAAGAACCTCATCAACCTCTAAAGACCTGTTCCTGTACATGTGAGGGGTCCTCAGCCTGTACTGACTCAGGCAGGTCAGGTCTAAGTTTGTTTATTTCAGTCACAGACGTAATAATCACAGATGAATTCTCTTTATTTCACTCCTCCTCACTGAAGATAAAGAACTTCTCCAAACATGAATTCAGATCAATCAGGACACAAACTAACCCTCTGCTGATTAACTTCACATCGATTCTGTGATTCAGCCTTTTGTGGAGTTTCATCAGAGAGACATGAAAACTGCTTTAACGTCTCGTGATCCTTGTCTCTGCAGAAACGGGGAATAAAAGTGAGTTTAATAAAAGACGGTTTCAGTTTGTGCTGATACCGGCTCTGAACCCTCGGAGGTCTCTCCCCGCCTTCACTTGACCTTCAGGAGCTCTCAGGACGTAGTTTTAATATGGAGATATTTTAATGAAGTCGCCCTGACAGAACTTTAACTTCAGCGTTAAATGTTCGTTCTCCAAGAATGACTTTAGATGTGCCGACAGACAAAAGGTAGAAAAGTAAAAACGCAGCTTCAGTGTTTGACGTGTGAAGTTGTCAGAGATCATTTTCAGTCAAACACTTGTCCCTGAAACGTCCCTGAAACGTCCCTGAAACGTCCCTGAAACGGAGAGTTTTTATCTCCATCAGTTTGTTGTTCTTCAAGGTCAGAGGAGGATCTAAACTCATCATTTCCAGTATGAAAGCACGTTCCTCTCTCTCTGTAATGATCGATCGGTTTGTTCCTTATCACAGACGGTGAATTCCTTTCCTCTGAGAAACACGCAGCCTGTTCCTCCACTCCGTCAACCTGTTGTCTCTGTAAACACGCCGATGTTATTTGAGCGCTGCTCCTCTGTTGTCTTTTGTTTTGGTGTCCACTCATCCACATCGCAGCTCAGCTCATCCTTCTTCTTCTTCTTTAATCTCTACGTACCGAGACAAGCTCTACGCTCATTCACCTCCACCAGAACCTCCACCAGAACCTCCACCAGAACCTCCACCAGCTCCTCTGTGAACACAGAGTTTATCCTCTGGGTGACAGAAAAACTCAAATACTGATGGAAACGATTCGCACGGATCATCGTAAGTTCATGAGATGGTTGCTCACGTACAGGATCTCCTTATTTGGGCACACAAGGTTGTTGAACCGAGACCTGACCGACCGACCGCAGCGGTTCCAGATCAGAACACTGACCACCTCGCTGCTACTCTGGACCAATCAGATCACATGACCTTCTCCCATGGCTCCAGAGTGAAGCAGTAATTATCCAATAAGAGGCTCTTCCCTGTTTTCTTGGTTTAATCCAGATGTTGTTTTTTGAGCTGATCTTCAGTCAAGATGAACAAACTCTGAGAATCTGGATTTTTATTCAACGTCTGTTTTATAAAACAAAAGGACCTGAAGACCGAAGAACCTCTCTTCTTCTTCATAGTCTTTAATCTAAGGCCTGTGTCTGTGTGTGTGTCTGTGTCTGTGTGTGTGTGTGTGTGTGTGTGTGTGTGTGTGTGTGTGTGTGTGTGTGTGTGTCTGTGTGTGTGTGTGTGTGTGTGTGTGTGTGTGTGTGTGTCTGTGTGTGTGTGTGTCTGTGTGTGTCTGTGTGTGTGTGTCTGTGTCTGTGTGTGTGTGTCTGTGTGTGTGTGTCTGTGTGTGTGTGTGTGTGTGTGTCTCTGTGTGTGTGTGTGTGTCTGTGTGTGTGTGTGTGTCTGTGTGTGTGTCTGTGTGTGTGTGTGTGTGTGTCTCTGTGTGTCTGTGTGTGTGTCTGTGTGTGTGTGTCTGTGTGTGTGTGTGTCTGTGTGTGTGTCTGTGTGTGTGTGTCTGTCTGTGTCTGTGTGTGTGTGTGTGTCTGTGTGTCTGTGTGTGTCTGTGTCTGTGTGTGTGTGTGTCTGTGTGTGTGTGTCTGTGTGTGTGTGTGTCTGTGTGTGTGTGTCTGTGTGTGTGTCTGTGTGTGTCTGTGTCTGTGTGTGTCTGTGTGTGTGTGTGTCTGTGTGTCTGTGTGTGTCTGTGTCTGTGTGTGTGTGTGTGTGTGTGTGTGTGTCTGTGTGTGTGTGTCTGTGTGTGTGTCTGTGTGTGTCTGTCTGTGTGTGTCTGTGTGTGTGTCTGTGTGTCTGTGTGTGTGTGTGTGTCTGTGAGTGTGTGTCTGTGTCTGTGTGTCTGTGTGTGTGTGTGTGTGTGTGTGTGTCTGTGTGTGTGTCTGTGTGTGTGTGAGTGTGTGTCTGTGTGTGTGTGTCTGTGTGTCTGTGTGTGTGTGTGTGTGTGTGTGTCTGTGTGTGTGTGTGTGTGTGTGTGTGTGTGTGTGTGTCTGTGTGTGTGTGTGTGTGTGTGTGTGTCTGTGTGTGTGTCTGTGTGTGTGTGTGTGTGTGTGTGTGTGTGTGTGTGTGTGTGTGTGTGTGTGTGTCTGTCTGTGTGTGTCTGTGTGTGTGTGTCTGTGTGTGTGTCTGTGTGTGTGTCTGTGTGTGTCTGTGTGTGTGTGTGTCTGTCTGTGTCTGTGTGTGTCTGTGTGTGTGTGTGTGTCTGTCTGTGTCTGTGTGTGTCTGTGTGTGTGTGTGTGTGTCTGTCTGTGTGTGTGTCTGTCTGTGTGTGTGTGTGTGTGTCTGTCTGTGTGTGTGTCTGTGTGTGTCTGTGTGTAAGAGATGAGAGAGGAGACACTTGACAGCAGCGTTGGAGAATCGGCTTCAGTGATTGGCTGATATCAAACACGTCCAAGTTTAACTCTTCACTTCCCAGCCTGGAATCTCAACGGTCCAATGGCGTGATCGCTGCCACGCCTGACCTCTGACCTCCCTGTGGCGTTGATGTGTTTTAACTTCAGAGTAAGTAGGAGACAAAGTTTCGGACTCTTTATTTTGACGGTGGGATGAAAAGGTTTGGATCAGATTTAATCGGAGCTGTCAGACACGCCGTCAGCCCGGAGGGAAATAAAAGAGTCGAAGTTTCACAGAGAAAGAGAAGAAACGAGTTTTCAAAAACTAACGAGGGTGTTCTGGAGACAAACGTACCTGGAAAGCCTCCTTGGCGATGGCGTCGTCCTCGTCCCCGCGTGCCCACGGCTGTCTGTTTGCAGAGTTCAGACTGTCCCCGAACACGTCGATGTAGAAGAAGACGAACTGCTCATGAGGGAGATCTGCTCGCCGAAACTCCACCATCAGTTTCCTGAAGACGTCAGGCGAGCAGCACACGAACATGACTGTGAGAAGAGAGAGAAGAGAAAACGTTTCCTCGTCAGACGGTCGATCGTTTCTGTTTTTACTTCAGGGTGTCGGGGAGCGTCAGGCAGGTTCGTGTCTCAGAGTTAAAATATAAACATATGGGTAAAAATTAATCAATGACAAATATTAAACTGATCAAGTTTGCTCCGATCAAAGATGGTTCTGCCAAAGTCCATTTCTGTGACCCGTGTTCTGAACCGTCTGGGGGTCCGCTCCATGATTGGACTCATTATCAGCGTTTGTGTTTCCTCGTTTCAGGGATGCTGAGGGTTTCTTCCTCCACTTCCTCCGTAATCAGACTCCCCTCTGTGCGTCCCCGCTCCAGGAAGTCTCCAGAGGCGTGATGACATTCCTCCGCTCCGGCGTTCCTGCCCCCCCCCCCCCATCTATTGTTTCAGGTCTTAATGACCTCGGAGCAGGAAGTGAAACCACAGAGACCTCGGCGCACTAAAAGCTTTCTCCTGATTGATTCAGAGCTGCACAGTCTCTCCCTGCCGCCGCCGCCGCCGCTGAGACCAGATCCCCGTCTGCTGAAACTGCACTTTGGACACTCCTGTGTGTGTGTGTGTGTGTGTGTGTGTGTGTGTGTGTACCTCTCCTCTCCGTCTCTTATTTTTGTTCATGCGAGGACAGATTCAGCGTCTCTGCTTCTTCAAATAAATCTAGAGTTGATATTTTACGTCTGAAACCCTCAAAGAGCCGCACGTTTGGTTGTCCGTCATTTGCGTTAGCGTAGCGAGTGACCACGGAGCAGAGACACCAGAGGGTGGAGTTTGTCGTGGTTATCTCGACAAAAGTCCATTTAGCTGTTTTTAAAGCGGTGTCCGAGGAGGAGCGAGAATAATGAGCGGGGAAACCGCCTGGTCTGGAGGGAGTACCTAAAACTGCAATTCCCCTACTGTCCACTAGAGGCTGTCTGCAGCAGCACCAGAAACCATGAACCTCCAATTTTCAACGCATCCGGAACGCGGTGTGAAATACGATCCTCCTGAAACATGGAGTGTTTTATTTTGAAAAGAAGTCAGATGTTTTATTTTGAAAAGAAGTCGGTGTAAATTGACACGTTAACTTGAATGTTTACGATCAGCTACGATCGGAGGATACGACCTTTTAGGAGACGATCAGGATGAAGGTGGAGGTCGGGGGTCATTCATTCATTCATTCATTCATTCATTCATTCATTTTGTAGCTGTCAGAAACACGTTTCCGAGGCTGACGTCACTCACAGGTACATCACACCTGTCAGTCAGGTCAGTGTTTTTAAAATGACAAAGTTCAGAGTCGTCTGAAGACGGAGGATAAAATGAACTTTATTTTGGCGGTAATAATAAATCTGTAGTTTGAACTCATCAGGATTAAACATCTGAAGAAAAGGAAAGACGACGATCTCCGTTCAAAGACGACGGCTGAAGCTCCAAACTCCGGTTTTATTCGGCGTGTTTGATTTTCGAACCGTCAGCTCTCAGGGTTCGGGTCGTTTTCAGACCGTTTTTTTCTGATTCATCAAACCTTCTCTGGTTCTTCCTCAGAGATCTTCATCCTCCAGCTGCTTCAGAGAGGAAAACAGAAACGCTTTCATCTCCTGAGCGTCTGTGGAAACTTCAGCTGCTCTCTTTTCATCTCCATACATCTGTGACAGTCAGGAAGTGTGCAGGGGTCAGAGGTCAGGGTGGAGGGGCTCTTCCTGGTTTCAGGGTCGATCTGGAGTCCTGACCCAGAAGAAAACTGCTGACTCATGCCGCCACCGTTCAGCTCGTCTTCAAAGTTCATTTATTAGAGAATCTCTGAATGATTTTAAACCTGTTTTTAAAACTCATGTTCAGAAACACGTCAGACTGATTTTAAATCAGAGAACAAACTTTATCGACGACGGTCTGATCAGATCAATGAGAGCGATTAATTCAGCAGATATACGTCCAATCTGACACGTCAACATAGAAAACACACTTTACATGTTAAAGGAGACCTCTCACTTATAATTAGAAATCAATATCAAAGTAATCGCCTCTATTGATTCTGCTGATCGGTGACTCCTTCCTGACATGACGTGTTTCTGTCAGCGTCAGAAAACAGCATCATCCTCATCACAGGAAACACTCTCGGCTTTGTCTCGCCAAAGTAAAGGTCGTGACAAACATCAGCGCCTCGAACCTTTTCGACTCTTTCTCTTTGTGTTTGATACAAAGGACCTTTTAAAGCTCTAATGAGACGCTCCGATCTCTCGCTCTCTTTTCATCCCCGCTCGGCTGTCATGTCGGGAACATTCAGTCCTCGGATATTTGCATCGATTTGGAGGGAAATAAAACTCTAAGCAGCATAAATGGAGCTGAGAGGACAGTCAGCTGTCTCCGTCTGAGCAGCATCGATCCTAAATATCTGTCCCATGGTTCGCACACTAACAGCCTGCAGCTGCTCCTCTCAGAGAAACAAAGATCTCCACGGCCGAGGAGCCCTCGAGCCGAACACCCTGACTGTGATCCATCTGCAGAGACACGCGTCTATCTGAACCCTGGAGCATCAGCAGACCAGAGGCTCTGCAGGAACGTGTTTTATAAAACGAGAAGAAGAAGTGAGTTCAGCAGAGAGGAATCATTGAGGAGATGTTTGCAGAGTGAAACTACGACATGGAGAAACGAGGAGATGATGAGACAGAAGCTCAGAGGAACTGAAACTCACAAACTTTTATAAATCCCTGATTCTTGTTTATAAAAACTGAGATTTATACTCAAAACAGAGACGAGAGCAACAATCTGATCACCTCAGATCTAATCCAGGCTGGGCTGGGCCAAATAAACTTTATATATAAATACAACTTTATATATAAACTTTATTTATAAATATAACTTTATATATAACTATAACTTTATATATAAACTTTATATATAACTATAACTTTATATATAAACTTTATATATAAATATAACTTTATATATAAACTTTATATATATAAACTTTATATATAACTATAACTTTATATATAAACTTTATATATAAATATAACTTTATATATAAACTTTATATATAAATATAACTTTATATATAAACTTTATATATAAACTTTATATATAACTATAACTTTATATATAAACTTTATATATAACTATAACTTTATAAATAAACTTTATATATAAACTTTATATATAACTATAACTTTATATATAAACTTTATATATAACTATAACTTTATATATAAACTTTATTTATAAATACAACTTTATATATAAACTTTATATACAAATATAACTTTACATATAAAGTTTATATATAACTATAACTTTATAAACTTTATTTATTTTGTTCGTATCAGCAGGTATCGATATAAATAAATGAAATCTAACAGTGTTTCTTGGTCTCATATCTTTTCCAACACAATAATCTCCTGCATCTGTGAGGTCTTTGTGTCTCTTTGGCGTTTTGTCGTAAGGCGTCGCTCTAGAGAAAGACGACTGAATGGTCGTCTGTTTCGGCTCCTCGCTCCTCTCGGGGTTTGTAACCTTTGGCGTTGCGCGTGCTCTGCGGCGTGGCGCTGCTTCAGGTGGTGAAAAAGATTTGAGGTATTCCCCGACTTTGTGAGAACATGTACTCGACATAATTTACAGTCCACATTACTCTGCTTCATGTCCGACCTCCAAAAACCAAAATACCTCCACACCACCGACGTTTTCCTAACGCCAGTGTTGTGGTTGACATTGATGTGGTCATCTGTTGAGCCTTCATGGTCATTTCTGTCGGGGGTAGCACTCATTTTCTTTGTTTCTCACCAACAGTGCTGTCGGCTTCACCTGTTAAAGTGCTATGGTTGGGTGGAGCTGCTGTCTGCTACCACGCTGCAGTTGGTTGATACTTGGTTCTAATTCAGAACATGATTGGTTCAGACCCGGAGACACGCCCCTTTTCATTGGCTGTTCGTATAGTCGACCAAAACATGTCAGAATGACGACTATTGAAAAGGATATTGATCATGTTTTATATTGATATTGAGGGAAATTAATTTGGATATCCTTGTTGTTTTATCGCCCAGCCCTATCTACAGGTCAGAATCAGTCGTGGACACGTCTCGAGGCGAGCGGTAAGAGCGACTCTTTTCTCCAGCAGAGAGTAAATTTAGCGAACGTATATGTGAGGAGACACAAACAGACAATAACTCGACTACAGCGGTCGAGGAAAAACAATAAAAACTGACGCTCTGACCCTCCTGTCGAATGTTTTTTCCTGGAACAGACTCAGCGCCGCCGTTAGAGCGATAACTCTGCGTCAGAGAGAAAAGCTCTGCAGGAGGTCCACGCCTGCATCACGGCGTTGTTTCTGCAGGGGGACACGTAATGATGTTTACAAAACAGGAAGTGGTGATGATGCGTGCCCCGCTGACACAGCTGGACCCCGACAGCCGTTAACGGTTCAAAGACAGAGAGCAGACAGAGAGCGAGACTAAATACTGGATCAGCCGGTTCATTTAGACACAGACCCAGTACAAAACCAGTACTGTGGTCTTAACTGGACCAGAGTCAGGGATAGTCCTGTGAGGATCAGAAACCAACGCAGGACACTAAAGCTCAAAACTGGGAGAGAAAAAAGGAACTTTGAGACCATTTCTCACACAGCAGGGGGCGCTAACCCTCACTAATCAAAGTTATCAGGAGGTTAATTCAGTAGTTTAGATCTGGACGTAAACGAGCACGGACGGGAGTTTGACGAGTTTTTCACCGTTTTGATCGAGAGAATGAGGAAGACCCTCAACCTCCACCTTCATCCTGATCGTCTCCTAAAAGGTCGTATCCTCCGATCGTAGCTGATCGTAACCATTCAAGTTAACGTGTCGGTTTACACCGACTTCTTTTCAAAATAAAACATCCGGCTTCTTTTCAAAATAAAACACTCCGTGTTTCAGGAGGATCGTATTTCACACCATGCAAACGGGCGGAGACGAACAAGTGAAAGGTTTTTAGACATCATTTCACCCCGATGACACCATGGATGAGGAGATGCTGATTCTAGAAGTCTAGAAGTAGATTTCCTCCTCTGGAAGGACACAATCTACTGCTTATATGTCTATGTGTCTGTCTCATTATCGATCAAACGTGAATCTGCGGGTTCTTGTGAGTTCTGGTGATTACCGCTGTCTGTAAATTCGCCTCACAAACGGATCCGGTAGGAATTGGCGTGCGGCGAAACCTGTAGGGTGTGACTGGTTTTAACTGTGGGGGGGGGGGTCCTAGTTTCACTGACGGACAGGAAGTTAGTCTCAGGTTTTCAGGTTGTTATTCTACACAAAGACTCTCCAAACAGGAAGGTGACATCTAGAATAACCCGTGTCCTGATTCATGGTTCCAGATCGAGAAGAGCTGCAGTCTCGGCAGGAGGACGTGTGCTGACCGAGAAGAACCGACCCAGGGTGGAAACAGGAGAAGATCCTGAGACATTATTGATCATGAACACTGACGCTTCCTCTGAGAGCTGCTGCTGCTGCTGCTGCTGCTGCAGGCGTGAAAAAGAGTCACCTGACCCACCTGCAGAGGCGGAGGTCAAACCAGCTGATCCTGGTGGTTAAACTGGACCTCTGTTCTGAAACACTCTGAGTCCAGATGACCCAAAAGTCCAAATGGAAATCCTTCTTCACGCAGCCGTCGGTTCGTTAAGACTCTCGTTTTTGAACCTTCATAACCTCGGCACACGCCTGACTCGGCTAATTGGCTCTGATCGCCGCTGTCAGAGGAAACTGCAGCGCCGCCGTTTCTCTGCATAACGCCGCGGCGGATCGTCTTTCATACGAACATCAGCTCCTGTAATTAGATACCTCTGTGTGAGAGGGGGGGAGGGAGAGAGAGAGGGAGGGAGGGAGAGAGAGAGAGAGAGAGGGAGGGAGAGAGGGAGAGAGACAGAGAGAGAGAGAGAGAGAGAGAGGGAGAGAGAGAGAGGGAGGGAGAGAGAGAGAGAGAGAGAGAGAGAGAGAGAGAGAGAGAGAGAGAGGGAGGGAGAGAGAGAGAGAGAGAGAGAGAGAGAGAGAGACAGAGAGAGAGAGAGAGGGAGGGAGGGAGGGGGGGGGAGAGAGAGAGAGAGAGAGAGAGAGAGAGGGAGGGAGGGAGAGAGAGAGAGAGGGAGGGAGGGAGAGAGAGAGAGAGGGAGGGAGGGAGAAAGAGAGAGGGAGAGAGAGAGAGAGAGAGAGGGAGGGAGAGAGAGAGGGAGAGAGGCTGTAAGCTCCTTTATTAAGTCCTGACTCTGTCAGTTACACTCGTCTTCGTCTTCGTCTTCGTCTTCGTCTTCGTCTTCGTCTTCCTTCACTCGGTCTAACCCACAGAGCTGAGAATCTTCCTCAACATCTTCATCAGACTGTCTTTATTGAAGCAGAAACTGTTCATGTGAGTTTCAGGAGAAGACTCGTTATATTTCAGACATTATTTCTCTGTTTTGATTTAAAGTATAATTAGACATTTATCACAACACAGCCTCAAAAATTTAAAGACATGCAGGAGTCAGAAAAAAAAACTAAAGTGTCGTAAAAATCAAAGTCTGCTGATAAAAAATGTGCCGCAAACACTTCAGCCACGCAACACTGCCAAACAGAAGTCATCCGAGCCTGCAGGGGGCGCTCAGTGTGATAGCTTTACGAGAACAACATTAAACCGTGAAAACGTTCGTAACTAAGGCTGCAAACAAACAGTGACCACATTCTGAGGACACGACTACGTGGGGGCGGAGTCACAGAGTCACACGTAGTTCATTTTGATAGTTTTTCGGGTCGAGAGTTTTTTACGCACTGATCACTCAGTAAGTCCACGAGACACAAACTCCAAACTTCCGTACAAAACACCGACATTTAATTTTAGAAACTTTCTGGGACGAGGCCGGACAGCCCCCCAAAAAAAGACATGTCCAGGTAAAAGAGGACGGATGGTCACCCTCGCCAAACAGTCAGTACGTTTCCATGACACTCAAGAAAACTATATTATTCCGATTAAGACCGGACAACTGAAGGTCATGTAAACACTTTAGTCCGACTATAATCAGAGTTTAAGAACTCAGATTAAGACGCCCAGATAATGATTTTCTCTACCATGTAACCAGCGTAGTCGGAGTATGATCGGATACAGGCCACGCCCCCGTAACCCCGTAACAAACCCCCAGAGTAGAGGAGTAGCGTTGGTCTCCTCTTTAGAAAAAGTAGCGCGTCCATCATGTCGGACAAAAACAACGCTGTACGATGCTCCATCTTCTTGTTTCTCCAAAATGCCCAGCAGCAGTTGTAGACACTTCTGACGTCTGACACCGACCTGCTGTTGTTGTTGACGGTTGGATGGGGTCGGAAACAGCGCCGCTGAAAAGACCCATATCGCCCCCTAGTGTTGGGGAGGAGGACACGTTCACGTCAATAATTCGATTGAAGGAGAGAAGTCTGATTCAGAGAAAAAGACGAGTTATGAGTTTAGTCGATTAAACTGAGACTGTAAACGACCTGAATGACCTCGTTTTAAATCCGTGTTTCAGTATTTTTCTGGCTCGTTTTAGACGTCCTCTCTCATGTTCGTTAAATCCTTTTTAAAGTTTGGGTTTCCTTCAGTGTCGGTGAAGCTGATTAAGAAGGTCACTCTAGTTTATGCTTCTGGGTCACGCCTGGCTGTAGTGACACTGTCATGAGCGCCACAAACTTCGGTGTCGGAGCGTTGGTGATGTCGCTCTGCGGCGGGCTCCTCCACCCAAACATCAGCTGGCTGTACGGCTTCTACGCTCATCATAGCAGCAGTTTCCTGTAGAGGAAACCATGGAAACTGAATCGGAGTGAATTATGTCGGAGTCGTGCAGAAGTTGGTCGAGCTGAAAATAAAAAAAGGGGAGACAGCAGAGGAGACGGACGACACGACCATCGAGGATGAAGACGGCGATAACTGAACGTTTGTCGCCGTGTGCTGATTTGAGGACTCCAGAAGCTGTCATGCTTTGGATGTTAGCAGCTGATTGTGAAGACAGTATCATCGTTTCACGCAGAGATCCTCGTCCTTTCTGGTCAGAGAACCTTCGCTCTCTTTATCGTTCTGTCTGACTCACGATAAATAAAACAGGACAGAACCAGTCTGCTCCATGACGGTCTTGTTTGCCCCTCGACTTCATAAAGAGACGTCTGTATGAGTTTCAGTCTTTTTAATAACCAGTTAACCTCCTCACAGGAGCTCTGAGGTACGGCGGTGGAGCTCTGAGGTACGGCGGTGGAGCTCTGAGGTACGGCGGTGGAGCTCTGAGGTACGGCGGTGGATGAACTGAGGTACGGCGGTGGAGCTCTGAGGTACGGCGGTGGAGCTCTGAGGTACGGCGGTGGAGCTCTGAGGTACGGCGGTGGAGCTCTGAGGTACGGCGGTGGATGAACTGATTACTTTGCTGAAGTGATTGCAGCTCTAAAGCTCCAGTGGGGAGTTTTTATTTGGTTATGAAACTAAAATGAGCTCTGATGTCAAAATCAAACCGGACCACCGCTAACAAGACGACTGAGTCAGTGAGGAAATAACTCCTCGTGTCTTTGCTGATCCACAGAGGTCGGTGTCAGTCCTGTGGGGGAACAGCTGTCATCAGGTCATGTGATCCTAAACAGCCAATCGAATCTTCTGCCTGGATCAGAATGTTCTCCTGCTGGATCCTTTGTGAATCTAATTAGCCGCCTTTTGCCTTTTAAAGACATTTTCACTCTGCAGACCGGTGGAGTTGGAGTTCATTAAAAGTGGTCACTGGAGACCAAACATGGCCGCCACCGCCGCCGCCGCAGGTGTCTCCGTGTTCTTTTCCTTTATTTGGTCATGTTATTTAAACCCGAATGTAACAGCCGGCGCTCTGCCGTCAGAGTGAAAAGAGCGCGGGTCACAATTAATATTTCCTCTAATCCTCCAAGAACTCCAGCGTCACAGTATGGTAATCTTATGGTTACCATGGTAACCCCCTCTGAGCACTATTCAGGATGTTGTAAAGGCCCACGGGGAGAAAGGAGCATAAAGAGAAGCAGATGAGGAGGATCGTGTTGCAGGTTGGTCAATATGTCCCTGAGTTGTTGTACAGTCCAGAGGGGGGGTTTGGACCAGACCGAGGCTGCAGGGGACATGAATCCACGCCGCGCTCGCTCTGACACTGCATCCCTAAAATATGTGGTCATCATGGTCCCAGAGACCTCCGCAGAGAAGGAGGAGGAGGAGGACCTAGAAGAACAACAGATCTGCTGCCCCTACATCTGCAGCTCAAAGAGAACCAGAGGGAGAAGAGGAGGTCTTTAGATAGACCCACATGATCATCCAGAACCTCCTCTGTACAAACACCCACCAAGATCTGAGGAGGCCCACAGATGGGGGTCACCAAAACCCGGAAACCTGACTTCAACCAACAAATCCTTAAAAGAGCAAAGAGGTGAAGCTGAGAGCTGACAAGAAAGATCAGCGACATCCGTCAGTCTCCGCTCCACGACCTGCTCGAACATGAACGAACTGAAGGAGATAAGGAGATGAAGGAGATGAAGGAGATGAAGGAGAAGAGGGAGATGAAGGAGAAGAAGGAGATGAAGGAGATGAAGGAGAGGAGCATTTCAGGAGGATCAGCCGAGACCACAAATGTGTTTTTTTCTCCTGTAAATACGGCGGTGAAGTTAGTTTCAGGTTGGATATATTTTCCTGTAAATACGGCGGTGAAGTTAGTTTTAGGTTGGATACATTTTCCTGTAAATACGGCGGTGAAGTTAGTTTTAGGTTGGATATATTTTCCTGTAAATACGGCGGTGAAGTTAGTTTCAGGTTGGATATATTTTCCTGTAAATAGGCGGTGAAGTTAGTTTCAGGTTGGATATATTTCCTGTAAATACGGCAGTGAAGTTAGTTTCTGGTTGGATATATTTTCCTGTAAATACGGCGGTGAAGTTAGTTTTAGGTTGGATATATTTTCCTGTAAATACGGCGGTGAAGTTAGTTTCAGGTTGGATATATTCTCCTGTAAATACAGCGGTGAAGTTAGTTTCAGGTTGGATATATTCTCCTGTAAATACAGCAGTGAAGTTAGTTTCAGGTTGGATATATTTTCCTGTAAATACGGCGGTGAAGTTAGTTTTAGGTTGGATATCTGACGGACATTCTCTGAGGATCTACCGGTGTCTTCTCACTCTCCATAACCGGGAATAACAACAGCAGCGCGGTTAAATCTACTCGACACCCTCACTGTCAACGTCGGTGTTGAATAAGGGACCGTCAATAAATTACCGGTTGATGTTCTCAGAAAAGGCTGTTTTCCTTCAATAGCTTCACTGTCATGTGACCAAAAGACCTAAAATTGATTTCTAATAATAGTACTAAGGTCGATCAATAAGACAAACATGATTGATCAGTTTTCATTGATCCCCTAAAGTTCTTTGTGCTCCTCACTTTTTTAACTCAGGAGAACAAAGTTGGTGTCGATCCCTGCTCCTCTGTATTTCTTCTGAGGTTTAGATGTTTTTAGAGGACGATCACAGAAGCTTCCAGAGTCGAACCCCTGAGACCTGAAGGCTCTTCTTCCAGCACTGGTTTGGAACCAGTTTGGAAGAGTATGAGGCTCTTTGAGCTGCTGGAGACATGATGGTGACTGTCCATTAAGACAGGGGGACGGACTTTAAATGTCAGAGACAATCCAAAGAAAGAAACTGATAATTAATCGATTTGATCATGAACTCTGCAGCACAGAGACCAGTTAGGACGGCCTTTAATGAGAACTACCATCACCTCATTTGTAAGTAATGAATGCATGGACTGTTTCTCTGTATGAATAAAGTCAGTTAAAGTCAGCTGACCGGACTGTCAGTATCTAAAGAGAAAAATTACAGAAACTGCAGTGTCGTCATTTTGAGCGGATATAAAGAGAGCAGAGCCGCTGTGATCGAACTGTGATAATGTCAGCAGATAAAATCACCAACATTAGACATTTTCTAACTCTGAACGTCAGAGAAGAGTAAATCCATGGAGGCAGCAGAGCTCTGTTCCTTCATATCTGCAGCCTGCAGACCTCCGCACAGCTGCGAGGACTTTCTTCTTCTTCTTTCTTCATCCACGTTTGATCAGCGTCACTCTGCTTCTGCTTCCACCACAGCTGTGAGCAGCTTCCTGAATCCGGTTTGGTGCCAACTCTGAAGGATCACCAATGACTGAAGGTCCTCTCAGCTGCAGGGATGAAGAAGACTTCTCATCGTGTTAGCTCTGTCACAGCTCAGGGAAATCACAAACTTTTGGAGCTGCTTTTATTCCAGCTGAAGGTTTTCAGAGGATTTCTGTTTATAGGAACAGACTTGGATCTGAGGACCCAGGTGGACCTCCCAAACAGGACCCACTGCTTCATGTGCTTCAGTGAAGCACCACATGATCCAGCAGGTCACAGAAACACGAGCCGCTCAGACACACAGGAAGAAGAGTCATCTGGATCTGAAGAGCCTCCAGCCTGAACCCTCTGAACCTCTGATGTTCTCAGGTTTGATATCTCGGCTCTGACTGCAGCTCTCTTGTCTCTGTGCCAGGAGGAAAACCACCCGTCTCCTCGCTTCTGCTCGGAGATTCCAGCATATTAATCTTTAACCGCTGCCAGATGGACGGGAACAAAGAGGAGGAGGAAGAAGCACGGCCTCGTCGGGGATAGATTTGTTCAGGATGATTGAGCCGCGCTCTGCTGCCCTGACGACAGGAGACGAGGAGGTGACATGGACGTGGGAATTTACCAGGATGAAGTGAGAGAGACTTTAGAGGAAGACTGAACTTCGATTAACTAAACTCAGACTAAAAGTTCATGTTTTCAGGGCGGAGAACGGACGAGATCTTTCAATCCTGATGTGAGGAAAACAAAAACCACAGCGGGGAAGTTTAAAGAGTGAGACTGCAGGAATACAAGATCTCAGAGAAACACACCGTATCAGAGACGGTCTGCTGTTGGTCATCTGCAGCACGAGACTAACCCCCAATTTTCACCACGTCCAGAGCAGCTCCGACCCGGAACGGCGCCGATTTTCACCGTCTGCAAATTCCCATCGAATACGTTGGTGAGGCGAATTTCGTGGTGGGTTACAGACAGCGATAATCACGAGAACTCACAAGAACCCGCAGATTCACGTTCAATCTCACGATAACGAGTCGTCTCTCTAAAGACAGACACATAGACATATAAGCAGTAGATTGTGTCCTTCCAGAGGAGGAAATCTACTTCTAGACTTCTAGAATCAGCATCTCCTCATCCATGGTGTCATCGGGGTGAAATGACGTCTAAAAACCTTTCACTTGTTCGTCTCCGCCCGTTTTGAAAGAAGTCGGTGTAAATTGACACGTTAACTTGAATGGTTACGATCAGCTACGATCGGAGGATACGACCTTTTAGGAGACGATCAGGATGAAGGTGGAGATCGGGGGTAACATGGATGGAGACACTTTCAGACTCCTGGAGAATAAAACTGTGTCTTTAAGTTAATTTTCTTTTTTAATGTAAAGATGATTTCAGGAGTATAAAATTACTAAAATGACTTTCAAATGTAAAAAACTTTTACCGTCAGAAGAAATGATCCTCTCACTCAGAGCTACAGGTTTACTTTATCAACATCCATAAGTGAAGCGTGTCGTTAAACTCCGATGAAAGGGGGACGGTGGACTCTGTTTGTATTAAATATGACCTGATACCCTGAAAGACTGAAGGTCTCAGGTATGAACGTCTGTGAAGATCCTCCTTCCTGGTTTGGTTCATCTTCACAGATAAGAGGATAGGGGGCGCTGTTATCCTGACGGGTCTTAAAGCTGCTGGAGGTCTGTAGGTGACTCAGGGTCTGATAAAGAACCTCCTGGACTCCATATTCAGAGGTTTTCTGCAGGAGAAGGTCCTACAGTGAAGACATTATTTTTAGATCTGGCTGAGGAACGCCAAGATCTCTGAGGAGGAGCTGAAAACACGTCTAATGAGGAGGGTATCTGGACCTCCACTGAGCTAGAACATCAAACAGAACCAGAGAAAAAATCCCAGAAAATCAGATCTGTAAAAAGGAGAGTGTAATTTCCTGACCAGCCTTTTTCTCCTTCAGCTCTGCTCTTCTTTACTTTAAAGGTTTAATTTCTCTCCTTCTTCACGGTGTGTCGTCTCATCCCTCAGACTGAATAGTGATTTAATATCAGAGCGATGAGTTTATCTCAGGAACCGTCTCGGCGCTCTGACAGCGTGTCCGTTTCCTTTAAAGCGAACACACTGAGATGATCTGATAAACATGAAATTACAAAAGTCCGCTGATATCTTCATCTCCTCTTTGTCCCTGCTGTGATTTACGCCTCCATAGGAGAGGTCTGCTCCTCCGTCAGCAGGAACTACAAAGACGAAAACTGACGAACAAATTCAGGACGACTAATCCATCTGTCACAGCTGATGGTGCGTCAAACCAGGATAAACAGACCGATGCAAAAACAAACCCACAGATCAGGTTCTTCGAAAAGGTCTGACGTCTGAATCGGCTCCAAACAGACAAACTACAAACTTTTTCCTGACGAATTTCGTTACGACAGTCAGAACCTGAACTCCTGACATTTTCCAAAAGTTTCCTCTCCCATGTGTGAGCCTTCACCATCTTTGGAAAACTGAGATCTCATTCTTTAATTAACTCCAGACAATGCCCAGACATTGGGGTCCTGACATTTTCTCAGACATTCCCTCGCTCCTCGAACATGTATTCCTAACTCCTGAAAAATTCCCAAATAAAACAGATTCAGAGCCCAAACTATTTCCCAATTTTAATTATTTCCAGGACTCTGGGACCTGACTTTTCCCAGACACATGATCGGTTACAAACATGAAGCCTCTCTACTGTGAACTCCTGACAATTTCCAGACATTTACCTGATTTTTCCTCTCCATTTCTAACTTGTTCTTCATTGTTGGAATGGAGAAACCCGGAGCCTCTTTCTCATCTAAACTCTGAATGATTTATCAAAACTGTTCAGATATTTATGTCCTGAAATTTTCCAGAACCCCCCCCTACAACATGTTTGTATGGAAATACTGCACACCTGAGAGCTATGGTTGTTTTACAGAAAAACTCTGGGGGGGTGTCGTAGAAAAGTGCGTCACTAGATTTTACTAATAGAGTTTTATAAACATGCTTTTGTTTTTGATGCAAACCTTCACATGTGGGAAATCGAACCAGTGTTCCCAGTGTTCCCAGACTATCAACAGCTGTTTGTTGGAAAACTGTTGCAGGTCTGGAAAACTTCAGTCCAGAATCTGTATCACATCAGAGCCCTCACAGAGGAGCCCTGTATGCGGCTGAAGTGAGTCATGGTTGGCATCAAGTGGACGTCTGAAAAAAAGGAGCTGCTAATGTGAGAAAGAAGAAACGTCTCTCAGACCATCGTGTCCTCTCAGGTTCAGTCTGTAAATGAAACAGGCTGTAAGACTTAATGAAGAGATTAAAAACAGGCAGAACAAACATGGACCGGCACTAATGAGAGTCTGAGTGTAGTGGGTCCAGATCTCTGACTCCAAAGTCTCAGACCCTGTCAGTCTGCAGCAGCTCAGATCAGAACCAGATCAGATCATGTCGTCTAACCTCAGCTTCAGTTTTATGTTTGAGTTCATTTCTGATCCGGCGTGATTGTTGCCCGGGTTACGTCTCATCAGCCATGTTTAAAAGAAATGCAGATGCTGTTCCTCTGAAGTCTCCTGCATTTCCAACATTATTAAGGTTTTCTTGTATTTTGGCTTCTGCTTCCACGCTGTGATTTCAAAAGCGCGCCGAACTCTCCGAGCAGCATCATGTGGTTAAAGGGGCGCTCGTCGATTGGACAAAGTAGGAGGGGTATGTGACCTCAGGGATTACAAACAGGGGCGGACTCGCCGTCTTGTATCGTGCTTCGTCACATTATTTCATGGAATGCTACAACGTTAGTGAACGCAGCTGTTCCCATGATGCTATGGTAGCTCGTCAGGGACTGATCCTGTTATTTTTCTGACTTTGACGATCGAACATGTGACGACATACGAGCTCATCTGTGATTTGATTTTGTTTAAATATGCCAAACTGTGAATTTATGGGTTATTGTTGTTCAGACAATTAAGCTAAGCTAGCTAGCAACTGCTAATGTCAGCGGTCCCTTGTTGCCATAGCAACAAGGGACACCGTGCTTCCTCTACCCAAGATGCACTGCGTATAGCGTCATCACCTACACTTGGTCCTGTGTTTGGTCCGCTGAGCTTTCACACTGCATACGAACCGAACCAGGGTTCACTGAGACCCGGGTTTTCAGGCGGACCAGAGTTCTGGTGAGCTTTCACACCTGCCCAGACGAAGCGGACTATCGGAGGAAACGAACTCTGGTCCGTTTAAAGCGACCGTAAAGATTAAATCTGAGGGGAGGAGGTTGACTTGTGATCAGGGCCGTACTGCATTCAGGCCAAAATGATGTAATTTAAGATCGTTTAGTTCTTTAAGTTCACGTTTGACATTTCTGACCCACTTTATTATGAAGACACACTGAGACGTCAAACAACCGCTCTCATTTAAGCTGCTGAAGCAGGTGAGGAGGAGGAGGAGGAGGAGGACGAAGGAGACAAACATCCTAAAACCTTTCTGTTTACAGGAAATTTACTGAATACATTCATCAACATTATCAGAGCTGCGTCAGACGCTCCTGAGAGGCTCAAACCGTCTGGATCGGAGCCAAATGAGTCTTTAAGGACAGAGAGCAGCAGACTGGCAGCTCTTCAACACTGATGGACGGACCCGTGATACAGCGGGGCCAACATATTAGGAAGCATTTAGCAGATAAACCCGGAGAGGCTGCCGAGTTTCTGTGTGAGAGGAGAGCTGCTATTATAAGATAATAAAAACCTGAAACACGGAGCGAATCATCGGAACAACGGGGCAGGAAGACGAGGCGGTCACTGCCCCGAAAAAATCTGAGTCAGTAAGACAAGACAGGCTCATCCGAAGGTCAGAAACAAAACACTGTACAGAAACACCGTAGATCTACACAGTCCAGATGTTTATGCTTTCAAAGACTGTTTGCTGCAATTCTGAGTAATTTGGTAGGAACACACCCAGAGCATTTCCGTCCAATTAGAGCTGAGCGTAGTCTGGAGCAGGAAGAGGAGCCTCACACTGTCAGAACAAGAGGAGACGCACTTCACCCGTTTATTTAGTGAACAGATAAATAACTCGTTAGGATCAACACGGGGCTGACGCGTCACTCAACGAGCTGTCAGATCACTAACGAGGGGGGGAGAGAGGGGGAGAGAGAGAGAGAGAGAGGAAGGGAGAGAGAGAGGGAGGGAGGGGAGAGAGAGAGAGAGAGAGAGAGAGAGAGAGAGAGAGAGAGAGGAGAGAGAGAGAGAGAGAAAGTGGGAGAGAGAGAGAGAGAGAGAGAGAGAGTCCTCACTCCCCCAAATAAAGAGTTCTTGTTCTTTATTCAGTTTTAACAGATTTAAACTGAAGTCCGTCTCCTCTCCTGATCAGATCAGTGATTTTCTTCATACTTTATAGAATAACTGAAGGTCCTGAAAACCTGAAGGTGACCGACGTCTCAGTGTTACACTGTAAAACTAAACCAACATGTTCTCACAGCCTGATGATCCAATCCAAACCGTCCAGAATCAGGATAATATTTCATGATGACTCAGACTGACGTTGTCCTAAAGAAGCGTTTTAGGATCATGACTGCTGTGATTTGGCTCTTTATATATAAAAAAACTGTTTCTGCTGAAAAACTCCTAATTAAAGCCTTCATTAGAGTTCACTGTGACAGGTAAACAGAGTTAACTGCAGCTGAAGATCCTCCACTTATTCCTCCTGTTACAAACTCAGCCAGCCATCGGCTCTTAATTAGCATCCGTTAGCGCTAAACGCTAACTCAACGTCGACTCGGCTGTGGTTAATGAGGCCAGAGCTGATTAGTTTAAGAACCTGAGAAAGACCCAGAGTCTCCAGAGGAAACCGTCAGGCTTCAGTCTCCAATTAGTTTCTCTGTCTGAGGTACAAATGTAAAACTGTCGGCCTGTTTTCTGTCTGCAGACGTTTGTGTTTCTGGAGAGAAATCAGGTGTAAAAAACTCCAAACATCTCATCCTAATTAGTCAGGCTGCTATCGACCTGAGAGGAGAGGAGATAAGTGAGGATCCACCACCTCTTAAAGAGCTGTTCAATCAGACTGGATCATTCTGAGTCTCCACTTTAGGGTGAAACAGGTTTTAATTAAAGAGTTTCTGCGTCCAATTAAGACTCACACACCGCCGCTTTGATTCGTCACGCTGTCATGCATCTGCGAATAAGTTCAACATTTAAGCTGTTTTTCTGCAGACAGACGAGGCCGTGTTTGGAAGAGCTGTGAAGGAGCGACGGGACAGAAAACACAGAGAAATTAATGTTTCACAGTCTGAACCTGTCCCCACGTCTGGACGAGAAAACGATTAATATATATACAAAATTAATTTCCCTCAATATCAAGATAAAACATGATCAATATACTTTTCAATAGTCGACTATACGAACAGCCAATAAAAAGGGGCGTGTCTCCGGGTCTGAACCAATCATGTTCTGAATTAGAACCAAGTATCAACCAACTGCTGCGTCGTAGCAGACAGCAGCTCCACCCAACCATAGCACTTTAACAGGTGAAGCCGACAGCACTGTTGGTGAGAAACAAAGAAAATGAGTGCTACCCCCGACAGAAATGACCATGAAGGCTCAACAGATGACCACATCAATGTCAACCACAACACTGGCGTTAGGAAAACGTCGGTGGTGTGGAGGTATTTTGGTTTTTGGAGGTCGGACATGAAGCAGAGTAATGTGGACTGTAAATTATGTCGAGTACATGTTCTCACAAAGTCGGGGAATACCTCAAATCTTTTTCACCACCTGAAGCAGCGCCACGCCGCAGAGCACGCGCAACGCCAAAGGTTACAAACCCCGAGAGGAGCGAGGAGCCCGTGGCGCCTGAAACAGACGACCATTCAGTCGTCTTTCTCTAGAGCGACGCCTTACGACAAAACGCCAAAGAGACACAAAGACCTCACAGATGCAGGAGATTATTGTGTTGGAAAAGACATGAGACCAATAAACACTGTTAGATTTTTATATCCTGATATTGATCCATATCAGCTGATAGGAAATCAATAATATATCCTGATTAACTTTTTCAAATGTCGCCCAGCCCTACATACACATGACATTTTAGAGATCAGCTCAACGTTAAAACAGCCTCTAGTGGACACAAGAGGAACTGCTGGACAGTTGTAGTTTGGTCCAGAAATCAACTTTAATACCAGGTTTAGTTTAGTCTATTATCAAACCCTTCAGTCTCAAACATTCACAACACCGTAGAGAAGAAGTTCTGATTTCTGCGACTAAAACAACGAACATTTCTCCAACAGGAAGTCTGAACATCACTCCTCTAAAGACGTCTTCTCTGACCCCGCAGGAGTCGATATAAACGTGAACATGGACTGAATCCAGACCTGCTGATTCACTGTGGACTCATCAGACAGGAGGAAACGACCATCCTACACAGTGTTTACCTAACCTTCATTTATCCTGCAGACATGAGCAAACGAACCCAGAGCTACGATCTGTCCTGAGACGGCTATGATCAAACTAAAGGAGTTTAGGATGAAGGGAGAGCGCTGTGAAGAAAGACTAGGAACTAGAAACTGAAGAATTTTACATATCAGAGTGTGTGTGTGTGTGTGTGTGTGTATTTGTGTTTGTCTTTGACCGTGTGTATGTGTGTGTTTGTGTGTGTGTGTGTGTGTGTTTGTCTCTGACCGTGTGTGTGTGTGTGTTTGTGTGTGTGTGTGTGTCTGTCTTTGTGTGTGTGTGTGTGTGTGTGTGTGTGTTTGTCTCTGACCGTGTGTGTGTGTGTGCGTGTGTGTGTGTGTTTGTCTCTGACCGTGTGTCTGTGTGTTTGTCTTTGACTGTGTGTGTGTGTGTGTGTGTGCGTGTGCGTGTGTGTGTTTGTCTCTGACCGTGTGTGTGTGTGCGTGTGTGTGTGTGTGTGTGTGTGTTTGTCTTTGACTGTGTGTGTGTGTGTGTGTGCGTGTGTGTGTGTGTGTTTGTCTCTGACCGTGTGTGTGTGTGCGTGTGTGTGTGTGTGTATTTGTGTTTGTCTTTGACCGTGTGTGTGTGTGTGTGTGCGTGTGTGTGTGTCTGTGTGTTTGTCTCTGACCGTGTGTGTGTGTGTGTGTGTCTCTGACCGTGTGTGTGCGTGCAGTGAAGGCGGGAGTGTTTCGGGCTCCTGTCAGCCCTCAGCGTGTCTCCAACATATGTCCCTGCATTAATGAGACAGAAACCAGCCTGAATATGGATCAGGTCTGGAGCTGCCAGGCTGGAAAAAACCTCCCAGAACATTCTGGTCGGTCACCGCTGCCTTTAATTGGTCCTGTTCGTGGCTGTACTCTGTCAGAAAAGCATCAGCTGTTACTCCCCGGGTCAACAGACGAACACAGCGCAGGTTTACTCTGCTTTAAGGTTTTGATTTGGATCAATCATGTTGATTTACTTTGGAGCCTCAGAGAGACTGAAAAGTCCACGTCTAAAGAAAACACTGAGCACTGACGATTCTTATGAATTTAAGTAAAATTATGATAAAAAACATCCTAAAGGAGGAGATTATTGTCACTTATGAATAACTGAAACTGCCGCTCTGCGCTGAAGTGTAACGTGGTCTGAGTCACAGTCTGTGGTAGACGGGAGTCCTTGTCTTATAAAGTCCTCGTCTCACGGCTGGTCAGATTAAACAGACCATTAAACATGACTGGAAAAGGTCGATGATCTGCCAGTATTTACACCTGCGACACCAAAGTCTATTTCATTAACACGGACGCCATCATTCAGGACCAGATAAAGAGACTCGTGGTTTAGACGTCACTGATATAAAATCATCTGTTTTCTCCTCGTCTGAAAATAAAAGATTTACAGAGTTTCAAAAACATCATCTCCTCATAAATCTGACAAATTTACATTTAAAAAACTGTTTAATTCTGCTGTCAACATCTTAACATGGGGATTAATGGGGACTAACTCACTAGTGGAGTCAGCCTCTGGTGGACACTTGAGGAACTGCAGCCTCAGGGACTTTTTTACATATTCTGAACACCAGAAATTGTTGCTTCTCTGCAACTGTGTCACCAACTTTCTCATTTTTTTTACAGCCACCGGTGCTGCTAAAAACTCAACAGAAACCTGGTTAAATATGAGCTTCAGGTTCTAGTTTAAAACTTTGAGGAAAAGCAAATAAAAAGACTTTATTAATTTAACGTAAAAGTTAAAATGTACCAAAGAGGATTAAGAAGATTAAAAATAATTACAGGAGGGAGATTTTTTTAATTTCCATTTTGAGAATAAAGTTGAAATTCTAAAAAGTGGAAAATTTCGATGTTAATCATGTGGATCTGATCCTCTCTCATAAAAACGAATTAACACATGCGGAAACAGGAAAACAGTTTCTGTAGAAAATCGGACACTTTACAGCTGCTCCAGCTCTGAACAGTGTGATGAAGCTCTGCCGTAAATGAAGCCTCTATGAGACGACACCAACATCAGATACGACGTTAAAGAAACGTGTTTATTTATGTGTAAATCCTCCCAAACCTGTTCACTCACCGATGTTTACGATCAGGAACAGAGGTTTAGGTTTTACAGCCGTTTGATTAGAGAGACCCCAGACTGAGACACACACGGTAAAATTAGCCCGAGTGTGTTTGTCAGGAAATACCTACAGATCTGATAGGCCCACTGTAGTTTCCATATAAGGACGCAGGTTCCTGACCTCTGTTAATAAATGTCCTGTCGGGAGGTTTTATGCCTCGGTGGGAACCGAACAGGAGAGCTGCTGTTTGTTTGTGCTCTCTACTGGATCACAGATTAATACACCTCCACCACCATGAGAGACAGAAAGAGGAATTTAAGGAGGCTCTAGGATTTATGGACCAACTTTACAACCACAGCTCTGTGTCAAAGAGGAGACAATGATCCTGACGATGAAAGTCGAAATGAGAGAAAACTAAAACCAGCTGTCTCTGTTTCCTCTCCTTGTAAATTAAAAAAGAGCAAAAACAATATTTTCAGCTCTCCCAAAAAAAAAAAAAGGTCCAGATTCTCCTGCTGCTGCTTTTATTCCCCTGAAACATAAATCCTACTCCAGCTAAATATTTTTATTCCTAATTTATGTCGTTTTCTGCTTTTTTTTCTTCTTTCCCATGAAGAGGTTTTCATATTCCTTATTTCAAGATTGGAAAAATAGAGTTTCCTAACTTTTGCATATTTCAGTGTCTCCCAAAAGTCTCGAGTCTCTCCAGGACTTTTTCATTTATTCTTTATTTTTATGAAATGGTTCTGATGTCCAAAAACAGATCAAACTAATTTTATCCCTCCACTTTTATTCAGTGACTTCTTCTACGAGAGGTAAAGGCTGTCAGGTGCCAACAGTTTAAATACGGCGGTGAAGTTAGTTTTAGGTTGGATATATTTTCCTGTAAATACGGCGGTGAAGTTAGTTTCAGGTTGGATATATTTTCCTGTAAATACGGCGGTGAAGTTAGTTTTAGGTTGGATATATTTTCCTGTAAATACGGTGGTGAAGTTAGTTTCAGGTTGGATATATTTTCCTGTAAATACGGCGGTGAAGTTAGTTTCAGGTTGGATATATTCTCCTGTAAATACGGCGGTGAAGTTAGTTTTAGGTTGGATATATTTTCCTGTAAATACAGCGGTGAAGTTAGTTTCAGGTTGGATATATTTTCCTGTAAATACGGCGGTGAAGTTAGTTTCAGGTTGGATATATTTTCCTGTAAATACGGCGGTGAAGTTAGTTTCAGGTTGGATATATTTTCCTGTAAATACGGCGGTGAAGTTAGTTTTAGGTTGGATATATTTTCCTGTAAATACGGCGGTGAAGTTAGTTTCAGGTTGGATATATTTTCCTGTAAATACGGCGGTGAAGTTAGTTTTAGGTTGGATATATTTTCCTGTAAATACGGCGGTGAAGTTAGTTTCAGGTTGGATATCTGACGGACATTCTCTGAGGATCTACCGGTGTCTTCTCTCTCTCCATAACCGGGAATAACAACAGCAGCGCGGTTAAATCTACTCGACACCCTCACTGTCAACGTCGGTGTTGAATAAGGGACCGTCAATAAATTACTGGTTGATGTTCTCAGAAAAGGCTGTTTTCCTTCAATAGCTTCACTGTCATGTGACCAAAAGACCTAAAATTGATTTCTAATAGTAGTACTAAGGTCGATCAATAAGACAAACATTATTAAGGCTGCACAATATTGGAAAAAACTAACATTGCGATTTTTTTCAACATTGCGATATTAAAAATACAGGAATTTTCACCAGATGACCTGAATAGCACTTTATGTTGTGCTGCACCGCTGAGATCTTGAGGACAGTTCTCCTTTCTGTCTCTCCAAGAAAAAAAGGCTGATTGGTTATTAAAATTATCTCTGGATATCATCTCGTCGTTATCCTGGGAGGCAGTTTCCCTTCTGAAAGTGTGTTTTTATATAAATGGATTAGGATTATTTTTCTACAGACATGTTTAGGCTGATAGGAGGCTGTTAAAGCTGCGTTTCTGTCAGACTTGAGCTGTTGTTGTTTGACTGGTGTGTTTTATTCATTAATCTGGAGCCCCTCTCTGCTCTGGAAATCTGCTGTATCATTCACTGATGCAGACTTTCCACTGCATCCTCAGGCTGAGCCGTTTCCATCACCGAGGAGCTGCTGCTGCTGCTGCTGCTGTCTGGCCTGTGGACGCATCGATCAGGCTCAGGTTTCTGCTGCTCTGATGAGGCCCTGCGGCACAGATCAGGAGCTAATGTGGGGGGTTAACAAGGCGTGCTCGCTCGCAGGGCGACCGAGGAACAAATCACACAGGAGAGAGAGAGAGCGAGAGAGAGTCAGGAACCATGTGGAGCAGACGGTTTTTAAAAAGTGTGTCTGCTTGAGCTCAGAATATCTACAGCCTTAATCTGAGCAGCTGGAACAACAAGACAATATCTCCAACACCCTGCTGAGCGCTACGACAATAATGACAAGCTCAGCCTGTTAGTGTGTGTCTGTGTGTGTGAACATGTGTGTGTGTGTGTGTGTGTGTCAGAGGGGTAATAATGCGCCGAGTCGAGATAAAAAACTGGAGCTGTGTATGGATGCAATAAAAAGTGACATAATGAGTGATTTGGGCTGTAATCAGCTTTCAGGAACTAAACCCGTCTTTCCTCTCTGTCCACCCTGACGACATCGTGTCGTTGGTTTTCATCAATATTCTAACTTGTGATTGGTCGATACCGCCTTAACAACAGAGCGTAACTTCCCAACACCTCAATCCTCTGTCCTGGTTCAGTTAGGAATAAAAACGGGTTTTACTGTGGACACAAATACACCTCCTCTTACAGACCTCCTCTTCCTGAGCTCCTCTCACTGACCTCCTCTCACTGACCTCCTCTTCCTGACCTCCTCTCACTGACCTCCTCTTCCTGAGCTCCTCTCACTGACCTCCTCTTCCTGACCTCCTCTCACTGACCTCCTCTTCCTGAGCTCCTCTCACTGACCTCCTCTCACTGACCTCCTCTCACTGACCTCCTCTTCCTGACCTCCTCTCACTGACCTCCTCTCACTGACCTCCTCTCACTGACCTCCTCTTCCTGACCTCCTCTCACTGACCTCCTCTCACTGACCTCCTCTTCCTGAGCTCCTCTCACTGACCTCCTCTCACTGACCTCCTCTTCCTGACCTCCTCTCACTGACCTCCTCTTCCTGACCTCCTCTCACTGACCTCCTCTTACAGACCTCCTCTTCCTGACCTCCTCTTCCTGACCTCCTCTCACTGACCTCCTCTCACTGACCTCCTCTCACTGACCTCCTCTTCCTGACCTCCTCTCACTGACCTCCTCTTCCTGACCTCCTCTCACTGACCTCCTCTCACTGACCTCCTCTTCCTGACCTCCTCTTCCTGACCTCCTCTTCCTGACCTCCTCTTCCTGACCTCCTCTCACTGACCTCCTCTTACTGACCTCCTCTTACAGACCTCCTCTTACAGACCCCCTCTTACGGACCTCCTCTCACTGACCTCCTCTTCCTGACCTCCTCTTCCTGACCTCCTCTCACTGACCTCCTCTTCCTGACCTCCTCTTCCTGACCTCCTCTCCCTGACCTCCTCTTACGGACCTCCTCTCACTGACCTCCTCTCACTGACCTCCTCTTCCTGACCTCCTCTTCCTGACCTCCTCTCCCTGACCTCCTCTTACGGACCTCCTCTTCCTGACCTCCTCTCACTGACCTCCTCTTACTGACCTCCTCTTACAGACCTCCTCTTACAGACCCCCTCTTACGGACCTCCTCTCACGGACCTCCTCTCACTGACCTCCTCTTACGGACCTCCTCTTCCTGACCTCCTCTCACTGACCTCCTCTTACTGACCTCCTCTTACTGACCTCCTCTTACAGACCTCCTCTTACGGACCTCCTCTTACGGACCTCCTCTCACTGACCTCCTCTTACGGACCTCCTCTCACTGACCTCCTCTCACTGACCTCCTCTTCCTGACCTCCTCTCACTGACCTCCTCTTACTGACCTCCTCTTACAGACCTCCTCTTACAGACCCCCTCTTACGGACCTCCTCTTACGGACCTCCACTTACGGACCTCCTCTCACGGACCTCCTCTTCCTGACCTCCTCTTACTGACCTCCTCTTCCTGACCTCCTCTTACTGACCTCCTCTTACTGACCTCCTCTTACAGACCTCCTCTTACAGACCCCCTCTTACGGACCTCCTCTCACGGACCTCCTCTCACTGACCTCCTCTTACGGACCTCCTCTTCCTGACCTCCTCTCACTGACCTCCTCTTACTGACCTCCTCTTACTGACCTCCTCTTACAGACCTCCTCTTACGGACCTCCTCTTACGGACCTCCTCTCACTGACCTCCTCTTACGGACCTCCTCTCACGGACCTCCTCTCACTGACCTCCTCTTACGGACCTCCTCTTCCTGACCTCCTCTCACTGACCTCCTCTTACTAGCCTCCTCTCTTACAGACCTCCTCTTACAGACCCCTCCACGACCTCTTACTGACCTCCTCTCACTGACCTCCTCTCCTGACCTCCTCTTCCTGACCTCCTCTCACTGACCTCCTCTCACTGACCTCCTCTTCCTGACCTCCTCTTACTGACCTCCTCTTCCTGACCTCCTCTTACGGACCTCCTCTCACTGACCTCCTCTTACTGACCTCCTCTTCCTGACCTCCTCTCACTGACCTCCTCTTCCTGACCTCCTCTCACTGACCTCCTCTTCCTGACCTCCTCTCACTGACCTCCTCTCACTGACCTCCTCTTACGGACCTCCTCTTCCTGACCTCCTCTCACTGACCTCCTCTCTCCGTCCTCTTCCTGACCTCCTCTCACTGACCTCCTCTTACTGACCTCCTCTTACAGACCTCCTCTTACAGACCCCCTCTTACGGACCTCCTCTTACGGACCTCCACTTACGGACCTCCTCTCACGGACCTCCTCTTCCTGACCTCCTCTTACTGACCTCCTCTTCCTGACCTCCTCTTACGGACCTCCTCTAACTGACCTCCTCTTACTGACCTCCTCTTCCTGACCTCCTCTCACTGACCTCCTCTCTCCGTCCTCTCACTGACCTCCTCTCACTGACCTCCTCTCACTGACCTCCTCTCACTGACCTCCTCTTCTTGACCTCCTCTCACTGACCTCCTCTTCCTGACCTCCTCTCACTGACCTCCTCTTCCTGACCTCCTCTTACTGACCTCCTCTCACTGACCTCCTCTCACTGACCTCCTCTCACTGACCTCCTCTTCCTGACCTCCTCTCACTGACCTCCTCTCTCCGTCCTCTTCCTGACCTCCTCTCACTGACCTCCTCTCTCCGTCCTCTCACTGACCTCCTCTCACTGACCTCCTCTCACTGACCTCCTCTTACTGACCTCCTCTTCTTGACCTCCTCTCACTGACCTCCTCTTCCTGACCTCCTCTCACTGACCTCCTCTCTCCGTCCTCTCTCCGTCCTCTCTCCGTCCTCTTCCTGACCTCCTCTCCCTGACCTCCTCTCTCCGTCCTCTCTCTCTCTCTCTGTCATGAAAAGCTCCTGATAATTAGCGGTCTCCTCTCACTGACCTCCTCTCCCTGACCTCCTCTCTCCGTCCTCTCACTAACCTCCTCTCACTGACCTCCTCTTCCTGACCTCCTCTCACTGACCTCCTCTTCCTGACCTCCTCTCACTGACCTCCTCTCCCTGACCTCCTCTCTCCGTCCTCTCACTGACCTCCTCTCACTAACCTCCTCTCACTGACCTCCTCTCACTGACCTCCTCTCTCCGTCCTCTTCCTGACCTCCTCTCCCTGACCTCCTCTCTCCGTCCTCTCACTAACCTCCTCTCACTGACCTCCTCTTCCTGACCTCCTCTCACTGACCTCCTCTTCCTGACCTCCTCTCACTGACCTCCTCTCACTGACCTCCTCTTCCTGACCTCCTCTCACTGACCTCCTCTCCCTGACCTCCTCTCTCCGTCCTCTCACTGACCTCCTCTCACTGACCTTCTCTCACTGACCTCCTCTCACTGACCTCCTCTCTCCGTCCTCTTCCTGACCTCCTCTCACTGACCTCCTCTCTCCGTCCTCTCTCCGTCCTCTCTCCGTCCTCTCTCTCTGTCTCGGTCATGAAAAGCTCCTGATAATTAGCGGTCTCCTCTCACTGACCTCCTCTCCCTGACCTCCTCTCTCCGTCCTCTCACTAACCTCCTCTCACTGACCTCCTCTTCCTGACCTCCTCTCCCTGACCTCCTCTCTCCGTCCTCTCTCTTGGTCATGAAAAGCTCCTGATAATTAGCGGTCTCGTCGTCATGTGACCTTTGACCCGTCCTCCCCTGCTGCGCTCTCGCTCTGTCACTCTGCTGGTTGATTATTATTATTATTATTAGACGTTATTATTCTTATCAGAGCCGAGGCGGATCGCTGCAGCTCAGCAGAGACGACTGAAGAGACACTTTTGAAGAAATCCTTTTCCAGTGATTTAGCCGTAATGAGAAACCTTGAAGCTCAGAGGAACGGGTGAATTTTCACACGTCAATACATGCCTCTGTGAGGCCATGAGAGGATGACCAGCTCGATTACAGCACATCTCACTGAAGTACAGACGTTTTTTAATGACCTGGACTTTAACTTATCGATTAAAAAAGATCGAATCAACCAGGAAAATAACTTCTACTCGGATATAAACAGGAAACGCTGATAATTCACATGATTAAAGACCGCCAACAAACTTCTAATGGACTCTCCATGAAGAAGCTTTCATGTAAACCCAGGAGGAGACTCACATCAGTGATCAGCATTAGCATGATTATTGGCTTACTGATCCATTATCTGTGCAGCAACAAGTCCACTAATAACAGCCAATCACATTCACATTCATGGTCCCACACTTTCTACTTCCTCTGCTGTTTCTCAATGCAAACACAACCTGCTGCAGAAACTCTTTTTTCTTCACTCCTCCAACCGCAGGGAAATAACTCAAGTTCAACATGTTGCAACCACCAAGTACAAGCTCCAGAGGCAGACGGACAGGAAGGAACGGCACGGCTAAAACAACACACAGTCTGACGAAAAACAACAACAACTCCTTATTTCAGACATCAAACCAAAGTACGGACCCTGGATATCTTCAGTAAAACGACAAAACGACAACAATATCAAGAATTAATTTCCCTCAATATCAATATAAAATATGGTCAATATCCTTTTCAATAGTCGTCATTCTGACATGTTTTGGTCGACTATACGAACAGCCAATGAAAAGGGGCGTGTCTCCGGGTCTGAACCAATCATGTTCTGAATTAGAACCAAGTATCAACCAACTGCAGCGTCGTAGCAGACAGCAGCTCCACCCAACCATAGCACTTTAACAGGTGAAGCCGACAGCACTGTTGGTGAGAAACAAAGAAAATGAGTGCTACCCCCGACAGAAATGACCATGAAGGCTCAACAGATGACCACATCAATGTCAACCACAACACTGGCGTTAGGAAAACGTCGGTGGTGTGGAGGTATTTTGGTTTTTGGAGGTCGGACATGAAGCAGAGTAATGTGGACTGTAAATTATGTCGAGTACATGTTCTCACAAAGTCGGGGAATACCTCAAATCTTTTTCACCACCTGAAGCAGCGCCACGCCGCAGAGCACGCACAACGCTAAAGGTTACAAACCCCGAGAGGAGCGAGGAGCCCATGGCGCCTGAAACAGACGACCATTCAGTCGGCTTTCTCTAGAGCGACGCCTTACGACAAAACGCCAAAGAGACACAAAGACCTCACAGATGCAGGAGATTATTGAAAAGACATGAGACCAATAAACACTGTTAGATTTTGATATCCTGATATTGATCCATATCAGCTGATATGATAATAATATATCCTGATAAACTTTTTCACGTATCGCCCAGCCCTACCTCCAACTCCTTATTTCAGACATCAAACCAAAGTATGAACCCTGGATGTCTTTAGTCTTTGCACCCCTGTAATTAAAGGATAATCAGCAGAGTTCATGCCGCTGATGTTTGAAGACATTTGAAGAGACACTTGTCTGAAGTATACGGACACGGGTGAGGACAGAGATGAAATATAACAAAGACAAACTCAGAGAGCTCCAGTGTCCATTAAAGCAGAGCACTCACTCCGGTGCCTGCTTAGTGTAGCCAACTCCATTTGCAAATTTAATTAAACCCACAAAAGCCAATCACTTGTCTGTTTTCAAATCTCCTGTTGTTTCTCGAGCTTCATTACATCCCTGATAAGTAACCATAGTTACGACTTCTGCTTTAATCCGATCAACACTGAAACACATTCAAGGACTGTAGACGCTGAACCCAAACTGGACCCAGGAGAACCTTTCTTTATGGCTCAGTTTCTAACACCTCCCTTTGTCACACACCATCTGCCTTTTTCTTCTCCTGTGTTTTCCATCAACGTCACTTTCAATCACTACAGCCAATGCAAATACAGAATAAGCTATGCATGTAATTTACCCAGCTGTTCGCTCACTGTCTGCATGCAGAAACACATTTCTCACCCCTGATTAGATCTGATAGAATCTGCATAAATACATGTCTCTTCTGGAAAAGCACAGGTGTGTTCAGAAAAATGAAAGCTTACTGGAACCCTAATGGAGCTGAGCTTTGTCAGACACACCTGTGCTTCTCCTACTGAGGTCAAACGTTTGTTGTAGAAAGGTCAGCTGGACTTTGTCCTGAGACCAGCAGGAATACAGAGGAATAATGTCTGATAAGATTTTAAAGACGATCTTTGACCTCATTTTTACATATTTTAGGACCTTAAAGGTGAGGAAGGCAGGATTCTGTTAAAGACACATCTTTTTATTTTGTGTTTTATAAACAAAAAATCTTCTAATATCAGTCAATAGTTATTAGTTATTGATTATTTGGTAATATATCGATATCTCTGTGTTCTCTTATGTCTGTGTCGTCAACATTTGAACATTTTTGAGCGGTCCGCTCTTTCTGACTGTAAACAAAGCCGTTCTCCACCTCCTCTAACCTGATTGGTTGTGAGGCAGACGCTGCTTCCTGTCCTGCAAACATTGTGTTTGCTGGTAGTCTGTTGGCATCTACAGTAGCACCAATGCTTTTGACTTTCACCTTGACTGGGCCCCATTTGTAATGATCTGAAGTATTTATCTGCATTATATCTGAATTTAACTGGAACGATACGAGCGAGCAGGAGCGTCTGTTTGTGGGCGGGGCTTAAGAGAGGGAGAGGAGGAGCTATGGGGAAAACTGGTTGGGAGGGGTAGAGAACCTACAGAAGTTTGGGAACAGCTTCAGTAGACTGTTTCCGCCTGCAGCAGTGAAACAGGCTGTAATGGTCGCCATGTGATCAGCCTCTCAAAGTGTGGTTTTCGTCGCTGTGGTTTTCCAGGAACATACTCTGCCCCCTACTGGCAACAGGAACTTACTGACACGCATGGACTCGTTCATCTTCCAGGATTTATACAATCCACTTTAAATCTTTTGTACCATTTGAAACTTGAGCTCGACTAAAGGGTGTGGCTAAACTGACCACTAGAAGTCAGAGGTCATTTAACAGGAAGTTACTCCAACTCAAACATACGGGTCCCAAATTGCTTCAAACTCTACAGTAAGACTGAAACTCTTTCCTGGAACGACATTATGCAATTTCTTGTCTCACTCACTTCACCAGTCTTGAGTTGCTCTATGTGACTCACCTCTGCCGTCGCTCTGGATCTCCGACAGGATTTGGGAGTAGTTTATTGGTGGCTTGTTCTCTTCAAACACGCTGTCGACGATGGAAATGTTGATGCTCTTCAGCTCCGTGTACAAACCCTCCACAGCAAAGTAACATGGCCGATCGTCCTCCTTGATGTCGTTGAACATGAGCATCACATGCTCCCTCCAACCAAAGTGCTCGCAGATCCGCAGGGCGAACTTCCCCAGCTTCTTGTGGGTGGGACCGGTGTTGGTGATGGTTGGGTAGACTTGAACGCCATGAAAGGCCACAGCCGAAGCACCAGCAGTGACCATGGGGACATCCCAATGGGTGGCGAACAGGCCAACAGGGGAGGCGGTATAGGAGCAGCCAGGCCCAATAAACGCCCAGAGATCGTATGCGAATTTCAGGTCCACAGCCATGAGCGGGGCGACAGACTCAGAGCAGATCCCGTGCTCGTTTTCACTGTTTTTGTAAACGTAAATGAGGTGGTGGTCAGGGAGTAAGGTGGGGTCTGCGTTGACGGCTCTGACAGCCCGCTCTAAGGCGGGACCGACGCGAGGCCAAGCCCAAGGGTAAGCTGTGTTACTTCGAGGTAAAATGACAGCAAGAGTGATGTTCTGCTGCGGCCGATGTTCGTGATGCGCCCGAGTTTTTCTCACGCTACGACGACGAAACACACGCCCAGAGACCAGATGCAGGTCAAGCAGAACCAGCAGAACCAGCAGGAGATTGGTGGCCTCTTTCCAACGGGCCATCCTCTCCCAGCAGGTCGTCCACTTCCACCACTTCTGAATTATTTATCCCGTTAACTGTGGATGGACACGAGGGAGACATTAAGGAAACATGCAACATAAATGAAGCCCTGTTATTCTCTCTACTTCCTGCTTTAGCTAAACCCAGTAACACAGCCAGGACTCTGAGACCGGCTTTGGTTGGTCATGGTCGAAATCACTGCAGTAATTTAGTCCATGTCAGTCCTGAGTGGTCTGTGAGGCCACGCTGCATCGTGAGAGAAAAACTCCCCAAAGCTGGAAAATGACAGTTTCGCCTTCAGCTTCGCCCACATCGACACAGAACATGATCCGTGTTTGACACTGAGAACGATTTACTGTCCTCTACAGACCTCACCTCGAATATTTCAGACAGGGAGGGGCGTGGTCTCATCCTGTCATAACAAAAGGAGCAAAACTGATCATGAAAATCACAAATATGATCAGTCCTTCTTTAATCAATGTCTATTTTTGAAAGAAATGATTCGTACTTAGAGCTGACGAACATTGTAATCAATTATAGATTTAGCTAATGTTAAACAAGCATCATTCAAGAGTCAGCTGGGAGAATTGAGGTCAAGCTGTCAAATCGCTGAATTTTTTAATCGATTAATTGTCACTCAAGATTGATCGCACATTAAGACTTCAACATATAAGATTTGTTTTTAAAGCTTTTGATTTTAACTTGAATATTTGCTTTGAAAACTCTTGGCTTTGTCTCAAAATATAACTGAACTGACATTAAAATAAAAAAGTAGTACTTCACGCTGTGCCGAGGACTGATCAATAATTTATACTTCTGTGTTGTAGTCGTATTTCTACATAGGGGCAGGTATGGATGTGCTGAGTGATATACAGTCCAATACATCATGTTGTATGAGTTGTCATTGTAGCAGGTTATAAAACATTAATCTGCATGGTAACTATGACTCTCAACATTTGCAGGAAACTAAATATAACAAAGTACTTGATTTATATGATGGAGAACTTCAATGGTTTTCATTGTAACGAGTGATTAGATTTAAATTTACTGCTTTTATTTTATTGTGATAATCATTTGTAGAAACTCAACATTTTTCTATGACTGCATAATTTGGTTTGTACCTTTGGCCTCCCTCTACCAACTTTTCTGCTGCTTAGAGTTCAGTGGTCAAAACTTTAGAGACATTTTTGTTCTACTTTTCACTTCACATCCCAATGACAATCACAGAAACAGAAAAATTAATCTCTGAGGAGAATGAAGTCCTGTGAACACCTCATTGTTTACTTCAGACCAAACAGGCAGCTGGATATCAAACCTGACAGTCTCTTTATGAAGTTTGTTTGAGGAGCTCAATATAAAGTCCAGCTCATAGAGTGAAAACTACCACCAGTCATTCAGTTTGGATAAAAACAAATGTACGTCTGTGTGTCCAGGTGAGGCTTCCATACCACACACTGGGCTACTTAACACTAATAAACCACCATAACATAGAGCTGATCCCGTGTTGCCATCTTTGTTTCCTAAAATGATCGATGCCCTCCACTCAGAGACCCCCTTACAGCTAAAACATCGATTATCTTCTCAAACGGTGATCAATAAATCGTGTCAAACTGGTATAGATTAGTATTTTTGTGTGTATCTTACCTCAGTAGATGTCCGGGGTCTCCATCGTCTCATTTGTAAGTTTTAGTTAATTGGGATGCTGTATCCATGCCCGCGAAAACACGCCCGGCGCGTGCCCCCCTTTGGCGGCAAGTGAGCAGCGCGTGAGGTTCCGTCACTATGGCAGCGACAATTATGTCCGTTTTCTCTCCTTATAAACGATGAAACTGTCCAAAAAAAACACGATTTATCTGGAAAATTATGAGGTAATTCTCGAGACGTTCGTGGGTTCTACTCCAGCTGTCTTTGGGGAGAGTAAGCAGAGGAGAACCGACGGTGAGAAAGTTAACAAGTGTGTGATTCTTGGTGGAAATTAGCATAAATATACCCCGGGATGCAAAACTACTAAATTCCTTGAGAGGTCTTGTAAAAGAAACTTACATTAAACATGTGTGAGCACCAGTCTTCTCCAACTTTACCGTGGATCGAAGGAGATTTAAAAGGGCAAACATGGCGTTTTTTGACGTAGCAATAATCCACATTAAGGTGAAGTGAAAATTTAACCCACGAAGGACGTCAAGGTGCTCAGTAGTTCCACATCAGATTGAATGAAACGTTGAAATCCGGCAGGTAAAGTCCGAGAGAGAAGATTTCACAGAGCTCCTCACTGCTGTCCACTCTTCAGGAGAAAACTTGGTCCCACTTTGTGAAAAATGTTCCCGCAGGTTCGTGAAAACGTGAGCTGGACCGTGATTGTTGTTCCTGTTTGTCCGCCGAGGTTGAGCTGACAGACCGGGCTGAATGCCAGCGGTGTGTCTGGGCGGAGAGCTGGGAGAGAGGAGGGGAGACGTCAACGGAGGAGGGGAGGAAAGAGAGGTAGGAAAGGGAGGAAGGAAGGAAGGAAAGAAAGGGAGAGGAAAAAGGGAGGAGAGGGGCGGAGAGCTACAGAGAGGTGGAGAGTGAGGGGGAAAAGATCTGCTGAGGAGAGTAAAATCACCCAGAGTAAACAAGATGAAAAGTTCTGTACATGAGGGACATATTATCCAAGAACACAACAAATACAGATTTAAAGATCGAGTAAAAGAGCATGAATTAGTCAAACTGCTCCTTATTTAGATTAAGCTTCTTTGTACAATCAATCAGTCTGAGTTAGGGGAGACCGGGGCTTGTTGTCACACTTTTTACACGCTTATATATTTCTTGGAATCAGTACATCATATAAAAACAAAATCTGAACCAGATGAAAGAGCAAAGTCTCAGGTAAATATTTCACCATTATGTCATTTTCATATCTAGTGTCAGTGCAGAGTTATAACCAATCAAACAGAGAGCGTGATCATGTGACATGTTGTCTCACTACGTAGATGTCATAGTGGATTTTACAGCTAATAAAACAAGGACAAAATTATTGTTGTTCTTGTTTTTTTTACCTGAAAGTGAAAATTAAAGTCAGACACAGAAAATGTTTGGATGGATGTTTGGATGGAGATCTAAATAAATGAAATGAAATGTTTGGAGGAAAGGAAACAAAAAAAAAACACAATCAAAAAAAAAAACTCAAATGAAATCAAACGGATAAAGAAAGCAGCTAACGAGTGTCGTCAAAGAAAGTCATAAACCATCAAATAAAAATATAAAACTATAAAAACTTACAACAGATTAGAAATAAGTAAAATCTATGGGTGACGGTCTTCCATTTTTCCCTCAGAGAGACTCCGCCTCTCTTAATGTCCTTTTCATACACAGTCATGTCACTGACCTCTTCAAAATTCCCCTCATTAGTAGGAGATGCTCCCCCAGCTGTTTTTAGAGGGTTAACTAATCATTAACTTTCTATGCAGTTCACAGATTTCTGATTTAGATTCTGTAGTTTCATACAGACATATAGAAACATACAATATTCTCATACAGCAGCTTGTTCATCTACCTGCAGTATTATCCACCATAGGTCCAGATAACAAAGGGATTGTTGTCTTTGCTGTATACTGTACCATCCAGGGGATATTTAGGTCACTGAAAGCAACACTGAATCTATAAAGGAAATAATACCACCATCAATGTACCAGACACTCAAATGAATAAGTACTGCCAGTCCACAGTCAATGTACTTGTCATTGTTTCCTACAGAGTACATGAATAACAGCCTCTGGATGTAGCAGCACTGTGTCATTGTCTGTAGCTGAACACAGAGTAACACTGTGTCTCACTCGGTCCCTTTGCCCTCATCATGTTTTCCTGCTGTTACATTTTATTGCTGTGTTATCTGCCACCATTGCAGCATGAGTATTATCTGGTTCCCATCAAGGCTGCTGCTGCTTTACAAGCGCTCACAGATCAATAAAACGAATGCCAACACATAATTTAAAAAAGGGAGACAACACAGCAGGCTGAAATATTAGAGTTTATATATTTCTTATATCATCATCCATCCATTCATTATCTTTACTGCTCATCCAATAAACGTGCTCTTTATTAAGGAATCACTTCACCTGGGTTAGTGTTAATAATCTCCTGATTTAAGATTAGAGTCAATAATCAATAATCTAATTTATTCCTCTGCACAAAAAAAGCAATCATATTTGCTGAACTGTATAACAGTGTGTTTCACATCTCCTTCAAATCCCTGGAAAATGACAACAGAAGAATTATGGTTCATGTTAGTTCCTGAACTAGATTCTCAGAATCCACCTGAACAGTCGATATAAACAACGACCACAGCAGTCAAGAAAACAACATCTGACCCTCTGCAACGACCGCTGGAGCCTCCTAAACCACTCAGAGTCCAAGAGAAGATCTTCCTAAAACTCAACCTTCACGACCCTCTTTGTATAATAAACCTTATTGACAAAGACTCTGAGGGCCTGAAATGACCGATCAGTGCACAATGTGAAGTGCTTGGCTCAAAGTGACTTTAAAGGGATATTCCGGCGTAAAACTAATTTAGGGTCAAATCCACCGTAACACAGAGTTAGACCCCCCCTCCAGAGATGAATGTTGTCGACCGCTTCCTTCTCTAGTTAAACCAACTTTAGTAACGACCGCAGGATAGTAATACAGAGAGCCACGCCCCCAACCAAAACGCCACTCTATAGCCACAAATAATGCTCAGAACAGCACCTAACTTCATCAACAGGACATATAGGGTCACAGACATAGTACTAGACACCAAACATCTTTTTAACTTTGACTGATTTCTTTAGCAAAGAGACTAAACACAACTCACCTACTCTCTTCCAGCAGACGCTTGTTTGTAGAGAGACCTCAGGACAGTCCATTACAGACTACAGCGGGGTGACGCAGCTCAAGGAAGAACATTTATGATCATTTCTTTATCATTTCCTTGAAGTAATAATCACCATATTAATCATTTTACAGACGCGGTAGTTCTTCTGTCTTAGCGTCTCGGTCTGATTGTATTTCCATGAAGAAATGATCATAAATGTTCTTCCTTGAGCTGCGGCACCCCGCTGTAGTTGGTTGAGGTTTGTTTATGGCTCCTCAGACTGCTGTGTATTGGAGGGGGGGTCTAACTCGGTGTTACGGTGGGTTTGACCCTACATTAATTTTACGTCGGAGTATCTCCTCAATGACCAGATTTTTCTTTTTCAGCAGCACAGTCAGAATACAGAGTTGTGTCCGTCGATCATTCTTCTGTGTTTTGGGTGTAACTTGAATCAAACTAATTCGTGTGTCTGCTCTGATTCCCACTAAGAGTCAGGTGTTCCTGTAGACAGGGGTGCTACTATTCACACAGCTCCAGCTGGCATGTTTACCTCCTCCTGTTTTACTGTTGGGCTCCTGAAAATACAGACTTTAAAAACCATTAACACTGTTGTAGCGACTCCGAAGACCAACCTTGTCACTTGAGAGGAAAGTTTTGGCTCCAGTATTTGTCCGACATGCTATTGCTGTAACACACAGGACTCCTTTTAATGTACAGCAGGAACAAACAGGACAAACGAAAGTGAAGCGGTGCGGTCAACAAAAATGACAGCTACCCCACCCTTCTCTCTCCACCTGACTGCAGGTAAGCCGTGTCTTTTCATAGCTACCCGGCATTCACCTCGTGCACCACGTGACCCAAGCTCCCGTATGTTACCACAGCAACCACAAACATTATGTGACACATACAGACTTATTACCGTATGGCTCCTACATCTGTATCCCATATGGCAGAAACTCTGGATTATTTCCAGCTGGAGTGGGGGAGGAGGTTGGTGATTAAGCAGGAACAGAGCACACTGGGAAGCTTGTTACAGGTCTGTGTCAGATAAGGACCACATAATTTAACAGTGACTGAGAAAGTTTGATGGGATTTTCACCAATCAAATGGAGACAGTAGATTTAACAGCCCTGTCATGATCCCCTCTGCCTCTCCCGTCCAGCTGACAGCCTGCGTTTATCTGGCAGCAGCAGCAGCAGCAGCAGCATCATCATGTCAGGAGAAGATCAGGTGGGTGTTGAGCTGCTGAGGGAGGCCATTAGCTTAACACAGCGTGGGCGTCAGCATCACCTGTACATCCTCCATGTAAACACTGCACCCCCACTTATAGGCTGTTAGCCATCCGCTCTGAGCTGCCTCTCCTCTGAAGAGTGCTCCATGATACCGTTACTTCCTTACAAACAAGAGCGATTCAGGAGGAGCAGCTGCAGGATCAGAGGCATGAAGGGGGGGGACCAGAGCGGCTGCTGTCAGTGTTGTAACACGAGGAGTCGGTCCTTCTCTGCACAAAAGAATCAGATTATTCTGAGCACATGTTTGAACGGAGATAAAAGAGTGAGAAACCTGAAATTTAAATAGACAGACCAGGAGACATGATCCAAATACAGAAGTTTGTTTTCAGTCGACCCCTAAATGATTAAAGGTGAGGTCGTCAGGAATCTGTTAAAGAAACATCTTTTTATTTTGTGTTTTATAAACAAAAAATCTTCTAATATCAGTCAATAGTTATTAGTTATTGATTATTTGGTAATATATCGATATCTCTGTGTTCTCTTCTGTCTGTGTCGTCAACATTTGAACATTTTTGAGCGGTCCGCTCTTTCTGACTGTAAACAAAGCCGTTCTCCACCTCCTCTAACCTGATTGGTTGTGAGGCAGACGCTGCTCCCCCGTGTCGTTCAGGAGTCCAAACAAAGTTAGCGTGCTACAATATCGGACAGTAGAAACCAACCAGAAAGTTCGGAAAATTGTCTGAATCCTCCTTTGGCCACGACTGCCGACACAAGCAAGAAAACAAAGTAAATACCGGAGACTCTGGAGGAATAACGGGCGCTTAAAACGGAGGTAGACCGGACAAGAGCTAAAAACGATACGAGCGAGCAGGAGCATCTGTTTGTGGGCGGGGCTCAGATCCTGACTACAACACCTTTAAGTTTAACAAGAAGATTTTCAAATGAAACAAAAATCCTTATTTCAGGAATAAAAGAGTTAAATCTGACTTCAGGCTTTTATCTGAGGAGGACACAGGCTGAGGATTTCAGCTTCAGTACATGATGGATGTAAATCATTGGGTGACTCTGCTGCTCCTGAATACAGTATCTGGACTCATCAGCAGGTCTGAACATGTGATCCGGGTCACTTTTCAGCACCACGGACAGAACCTGGACTGGATTACGTTGACTCTGTAAAACCTGGTCGTCATGTCTGAGTTGACTCTACAGATGTGCCTGAAACTGTCCGCGCTGCATCGCAGGACTCCACCTAAAAACCAGGGAGGTGTCCTGATACATGTTCTGGTATCACCTGGTTTTGGTCTTTGAGGTTATTTTCTTTGGGATTTTCTTCAGTGTTCCTGTCCCCCTGTAGTCCCGTCCCCCTGTAGTCCTGTCCCCCTGTAGTCCTGTAGTCCTGTCCCCCTGTAGTCCTGTCCCCCTGTAGTCCTGTAGTCCTGTAGTCCTGTCCCCCTGTAGTCCTGTCCCCCTGTAGTCCTAGTGTTCTTGTCCCCCTGTAGTCCTGTCCCCCTGTAGTCCTGTAGTCCTGTCCCCCTGTAGTCCTGTCCCCCTGTAGTCCTGTAGTCCTGTCCCCCTGTAGTCCTGTCCCCCTGTAGTCCCGTCCCCCTGTAGTCCTGTCCCCCTGTAGTCCTGTAGTCCTGTAGTCCTGTAGTCCTGTAGTCCTGTCCCCCTGTAGTCCTGTCCCCCTGTAGTCCTGTAGTCCTGTCCCCCTGTAGTCCTGTAGTCCTGTCCCCCTGTAGTCCTGTCCCCCTGTAGTCCCGTCCCCCTGTAGTCCTGTCTTGTGAGTTTTCCGTTTGTGTCTGACTCTGGTTTATCAGTGTTTCCTGTTTTATTTTGAAGTCCTTTATCACCCGTTTGTCTTCTCTTGTTTTTCTTCCTCAGTAATTGTCTCACCTGTGTCTCCATGATTGTTCTGTCTGTATTTGTTTGTATTTGTCTGTATTTGTCTGTATTTGTTTGTATTTGTCTGTATTTGTTTGTATTTGTCTGTATTTGTCTGTATTTGTTTGTATTTGTCTGTATTTGTTTGTATTTGTCTGTATTTGTCTGTATTTGTCTGTATTTGTTTGTATTTGTCTGTATTTGTTTGTATCTGTCTGTATTTGTCTGTATTTGTTTGTATTTGTCTGTATTTGTCTGTATTTGTTTGTATTTGTCTGTATTTGTCTGTATTTGTTTGTATTTGTCTGTATTTGTCTGTATTTGTTTGTATTTGTCTGTATTTGTCTGTATTTGTCTGTATTTGTCTGTATTTGTTTGTATTTGTCTGTATTTGTCTGTATTTGTCTGTATTTGTTTGTATTTGTCTGTATTTGTCTGTATTTGTCTGTATCTGTCTGTATTTGTCTGTGTTTGTCTGTATTTGTCTGTATTTGTTTGTATTTGTTTGTATTTGTCTGTATTTGTCTGTATTTGTTTGTATTTGTCTGTATTTGTCTGTATTTGTTTGTATTTGTCTGTATTTGTTTGTATTTGTCTGTATTTGTTTGTATTTGTCTGTATTTGTTTGTATTTGTCTGTATTTGTTTGTATTTGTCTGTATTTGTTTGTATTTGTCTGTATTTGTCTGTATTTGTCTGTATTTGTCTGTATTTGTTTGTATCTGTCTGTATTTGTCTGTATTTGTTTGTATTTGTCTGTATTTGTCTGTAACCTTGTAAAAGCGATGCTGCCTGTCGTGGTCGGGACACTCCTGTTAATGAGATTTTTTTCATAACTTTCTGGTGTTTAGAAACAGTATGAAGTATTTTTGGTGGGCGGAGCTTCGCCATTGTTTGTTTGTTTTTTGCTTGTTAGGTTACCTTGGTGACGCCACTGATACTATATCCAGTTATTTCACAGTCTCCAGTATTGACCGTCCATTATAGGTCCTGTGTGTTAATACAGGGATCAGGTAAAGATGGGTCTTTGTTTCTGTCACACAGTCTCAGGTGTTTTCAGGAGGTTTTCCTTCTCTGTGTCATTAACTGAAGATTATATTTATGGAGTGACATTTAGCAGCTGACGTGTGTGTGTGTGTGTGTGGTTACAGTTAATTATCTCGGGGTGTTAATGGAGTCAGCAGTGCGAGACTTTGCCTCATAATTATTAGTCTGTTTAATTTCTCCTGGCACAGTCGGCAGCTCCAGAACTCTTCGTGGGTAATTGTCTCGAACCGAGCTGCCTATCCAACCACACCATCCATCCCTCTGTCAACCCCTGCAGGCGGGCATCCGTCACTCCTGTGTCCGCCCTGATAATGACGGGGGACAGCTGGGACAGCTGTGGAGTTACAGCAGCAGGTTATTGGAGGAAGGAAACTTTGAGGAATGATACCGTTTGTGTTTCCGTTTAACAGGCTGAAGCCACAGAGAGCTGATCTCCATCTTCAGGTAAAGGTGCGAGGAGTGACGAACAGCCCTAGACTCCTATCTATCAGGGATGCTGACCTTTGAACTGTGCGCTGATAAGAAGCGTGATGAAAAGACGGTCCTCTGCATCGATACTTTACAAACCAAAGACAAAGACAAACTGTGTCTGAATATCTGATCAAGAGTTTACAGTTAATCCCTGATATTGTTGGGAGTTCAATTAAACTCACACAACCCTGAACCATCAAACCCGCTGAAGTTACTCAAATATGGAGAAGCTGAAAAAATCTGATGACGCATGTTTCAAAGTTTTGGACTCCAAAGTGTTTCTAAGAGTCCGCAGTGCTCAGCAGCCTTTACATGAATAAATAAGTTAGATTTATATATATATATATATATATATATATATATATAAATATGTTATTGTGTAAAAGTGTCAGCAAACATTTTATCAGACATTTCAAGCTGCACAGACTCAGAGCGAGGAAATCTAAATCCAGACCCGCTGTCATTAATCAGTTCCTGCACACGGGGCGCAGAGCTTTCTGAATATTTAGATCCTTTTCTGCTGAATAATTAACTACAAGAACCTGAGGGGGGGGGGGGGGGGCACTCCCACCTCCTGTTAAAATGGCAGACAGACACTGACGAGCAAAAAGCACCAAATCCAGACACATTTACACGACAGGTCAGAGGACGATATAAACAGACTGAGGAGAAGGATGAACTTCGTTTGTCTCCTTTAGTACTCTGAGATTTAATCGATGTCATAGATGGAGTTATCTCAGAGCTCATTAACACCCACTCTAACTGCTGTTGGTACTGTGAGACGATTCTTATCCAGGAAAACTGCAGGAATTATTCCACAGGAGGAAATACGCTCAGTCACGACTCGACCCCGAGTTTGTAAATATGTAAACATGCCGCACATGCTCAGTTGTGTTTAAGTTTATTATGAAGACAGTGATCTGTTGTGTCGAATTAAGCGAGTACTTCAGCATCTCCACATCAGCAGGTTGGAGTCTTTGAGGTGAAGATGATGGAGTTACTGCCATCTAGAGGCATCTGTATGTTATTACAGTGTACAGTTAGGAGCAGGATTATATAGTTTCAATAGGAAAACAAGTTTAGAAAGAAGATGAGCTCACCGTTAATCTGTCAGTCAGGTGGAGAAGTTTTTGTCTTCTTCTCTGCCGTTTTCATCCTCTCACTGCTGTCAGGGTTTCTGCTGAGTGACACCACCTGTCTGCACATCTGTGAGTCCTCCCAGCAGCTCCAACACTCACACTCCTCCTCCACATGTGGACATTTATGAAGCTGCGTTCACAGAATAAACAGCCATGAAGCTGAAGGGAGAAGAGGTTTAACTTTGAAGTTAAAGGGATATTCCGACGTAAAATTAATTCAGGGTCAAACCCACCGTAACACCGAGTTAGACCCCCCCTCCAGAGATGTAGTTCTTCTGACTTAACGTCTCGGTCTGATTGTATTTCCATGAAGAAATGATCATAAATGTTCTTCCTTGAGCTGAGGCACCCCGCTGTAGTTGGTTGAGTCTGTAATGGCTCCTCAGACCTCTCTGTATTTCTATCCTGCGGTCGTTACTAAAGTTGGTAAAACTAGAGAAGGAAGCGGTCGACAACATTCATCTCTGGAGGGGGCGGGGTCTGACTCAGTGGGTTTGACCCTGAATTAATTTTACGCAGGAATATCCCTTTAAGTAGAGAGACCACCGGAGGCTCGTCTCGGTCACTTTAGTCAAATATTTTATTGAAGTTAAAAAAGTTTTTTAATTTTATTTTTTGTTTTTTTTATTTTCGTTAATCCAACAGAAGACAAACATGTTTACTGTTTCATGATCTATCTGAAAATGTTACGACCACCACCAATCACTGAGCTCCTGTTGGATATGGGCGGAGACAACGATTATCTAGAGCGTCCACTGCTGGTCATGTGACCACAATGTCACAGGGTCGACCACGCCGACCGCTAACGTGTCTTTATATGATGTAGATTCATCTACATCTCATCGGCGTGTGCAGGTTTGGCGGGATCCTGACCTCCTCCTTTAGACCTCAGAGCCGAAGCTCGCGGCTCAGTCTGCCCGGCGACAAGAACAGAGCTGTTTCCTGATTGGCTCCCCTCCTGGGCCGGCCCTTCAGAGGCTGTTTTTTCAGGGTTTTCTTTTGGTTCTGGTGAATCTGAAGCTCCTGATTGGCTGAGTTCAGACAGTGGTGAAGAAGAGTCGGGTTGGACCGCCGGCCCGTTGGATTCCTCTGCTGATGGCGAGGAGGAGGAGGCGGGGTCTGTCAGGATGTTCCTGGAGATAACTACAAGGGTCCAAATGTACGTGTAAATGAACCATGTAGTTATTTAATGTTAACCTTTTAACCTGAATATACAACAGGAAGTGACATCATCAGATGCTCACCTCCTATTGGTCTGTAGTCATCGTCTGTAGATGAGTGGCGCCTGAATGGACTGAAACTGGGCATGATGATCAGACCCAGAGAGACCAGGATGATCTGAACACACACACAAAAACACACAGGCCGTTTAAAGGGACCAGATCTACTCCAGTCTGACCCCGAAAAACCGCTTTTAGTCCGAGTTCTGGACCCAGAGTTCTGGTCCAGATCATGAGGGGTTTGGTGGAGAAGAAGAATCATCAGTTACTGATGATAAAAGAATAAAAAAACATGATTCTGTATGTCAAAATAAATTAGCAGACGGGGTTTCATGAAGACTCCTCAGGCTTCAAAAACTCCCTATAGTGCCTTTAAAATGACTCTCTTACCTGCTGTATAAAAACCTGAATAAATAATCAATAACTGATAAAAACACAAACACATGTAGAGTCAGGAGGAACTGAAACCACCTACCAGTAAACAGGTGCTGGTCTGGGCTCCTTTACTGACTGTCTGTTTGATCAGAGACTGAAGCTGCCTCAGCTGAGCCAGCAGAGACCTGGACCAGAACAAGACCAGAAACATCCAGATCCATCATCTACACCAACATCGTCATTTTAACGAGAACAAAGAAACACCGAACAGATCTGAGCCGTCAGGTATGAACTCTCTTATGGACCTGCAGGTGAAGACAACAGCGCCCTCTGCTGCATTAAAGTGGAGCTAAAAGTCACTGAAACTACGCTCTGTGAGAAACTGACGACTGTTTGATTATTAATCATCAATTTCCTCTTTGATCGGTGAAAAAGTCAATAATCAATAATTAACGTGGTCATACATGTTTCGTTTCTCCAGCTGCTCCACCGTCCGCTGCAGCTCTTTGTTCTGAGCGGAGCACGCTGCTGCCCTGTGAACACACACACACACACACACACACACACACACTCAGTGAGTGGCTGTGCTGAAGTTTCTTTTCGCTGTCTGAGTTTGTTTTACAGAGTTTTTGTTTTTTATTTGATTTTATTTCCTGATGTTCTTTGTAAACTTCTGTTTTTTTAAAGTGCTGTAAAAATAAAGTTACTATAATTATTATAATTATGACAGTCAGCTTGTTTTGACTGTGATCAGCGCAGACCTTCAGTCTGAGTGCGTACCTGCTCTCCAGCCCGTCGATGTACTCTTTCCTCCTCCGCCGACTGTCCTGAGCAGACTGCTTATTACGGATTTTCCGCCGAACTTTTTTCAGGATCCTCTCCTCCGCCTGCAAGTTAAAGATCGAAGTCGTATCAGGAAACAAACATCAGTCAGTGTATCGATCAAACTTTGCGGATGTCAGCCGTCTGACCTTGGTGAGAGGAAGGTTATTGGGCAGAGAAACGCCCTCCTGTGTCAGCAGCTTCTGCTCCTCCTCCGTCAGCTCCAGGTCTGGGTACAGCTGTAACAGTAGAAGAAGAAGAAGTTAGTCCTCCAGGTCGGACCGCCTCATCACTCCACAAACAGATCAGAACAATTAGAAATAAACTCTTACAGGGTCTGTGTCTGGACTGGGAGGGGCGGCGGCGGCGGCGGCGGTGAAACTCCCGTTAAGGTGAGCGGCAGAGATGACGGGGAGCTCGTTGACGACGCAGGAGTCTGAAAACAACACCTGAGAGCTCCACTCATCTGCACGGGACAGGAAGTGACATGACAGTGACTGATAAGAAGAGGGTGATAACCAGAGTAAGAAAAATTTACTACTAAGCATCCCTGTAACCATAGCAACTCTCTGCATCAGCATCGGTCAGAAGGGACTGAATGAGGAAGATGCTGATGGTTATCTGATTAAAAAAATAAACTTTGACATGAAAAGAAAAAACTGATGAGGTCCTTTAAACTTCAGAGATCTGTCTCTGATGAAAAAAAACTCTCTGACGTCAGACTGACGTTCAGGAAACTGAAAGCACCACGCTGCTCCTCACCCAGCTCTATAGAGATCACATTCTCCTGTCCTGGCTCGCTCTTAACTCCGCCCAGGCTGCCGATGTCATAAACCACCTGGTAGACTGTCGCGGGCGCTGACTGGGCGGGCGCCGTGCTCGCTGCCGTCACCGTGGTAACAGGACTTTCCACCACAGGGTCCTCGGAGATGCCGCTGTCGCTCTCAGATGAGGGGTCAGCAGGCGGGCCGCTGGGAAAGACCTCAT